CCATTTCCTTTCTACTTATCCAAACAAGCATAAAAGAGATTGTAAATATATCTCTTGTCTCCTTTCTTTTCTTTTCTTATTATTTTAAGTTGTTTCTTTTCTATTGTTTCAAAAAGAAGAATATTTGTAATGGTTGCAAGTGACCTTTTAAATGATAAATGTAAAATGAGTGTTGAAAAGAACCAAAGCTACATAGTAAAAGTTGTTTTAAGGGAATAAATATTTGTGTTTATTTAGTACAACTTAAGCTTGAAGGGTTCTGTTTTTTATTTTATATTTAACAATATAAAATAATATATAATATAAACAAAGAAGCAAATTAGAGCTTGGATTTATTGGTGCTTTATAGGCATTGTGCTGGCTCTTTCATACCCCAAATGAGTTGTTGTCTCTTGAAGGATTGGCAATCTTTTTTTTTCTTTTTCTATTATTTTTATAAAAAAAAACCTATCTGGCTCCTCCTTCTTTTGTTTACCTAAAGGAGCCAACACTAATGATGATATTTGTCTACTAAGTGCTGTATATCTTCCCATAATTTCATGCTTCACAAATGATGATATTCCATATCTTTTCCAAGTGCTTAATTTCCACAAGGCCCACCTGCTCCTAAAGCCATGGCTGGAAAAGCTATGGCTGACCAATTTTCACCACTGTTATTAGGCATTATCATGTATTGTAAGTTGTTACTCTTGTTATTCTATTTTCCCTGCTAAGGGATTTATTGGAATTTGGAGAGTAAACCGCAACTATGGTCAGTTCCTCACTCACGGATGGGTAATTTTTTATTATTATATGAGACTCACATTGCATCAACTACTCATTAGAAATCGCACAAATTCATCAGTAACGGAACTAGTTTGATGCATTATAACTTAGAGCAGCTCTAGCGCTGCTTCAAACCCGGGCAAAAGGCCCCCCGACTGAGCCCAAACGCCCTCTGGGGCGACAGAAGAGGCCCGGGCAAGAGCTGGGTCCCACCAGCCCGAACAAGCCCAAGGGCAAGTTTCGCCTGGGCTTCAGCCTAAGAGCTGTGACGTCATCGCTGACGTCACAGCACGGTAATTCAAATTTTTTTACCGTTGGCACTTGAATTACACACGCAAATGGTAAAAAAATTTGACTTCCGCCCGTCGACGTTAACGTGACATCAGCGCTGACAGAATCCAATGGGCATGTGCCACATGTTGCAACATGGACGCTCTGATCAGTTTTTTTCAAGAAATCTTACGATCCTCGTTTTTTTGGCTAAAAAAATTGCACAAAAAAATCGAAAAAATTCTGAATTTTTTTTAAAAAATATCAAAAAATTCTGTATTTTTTCCCTATAAATACCTAACCATTTTATTTACTTTCCACACCAAATCTTCATACAATTTCTTCTTCATCCAATATTTTTTACTCTCCACTCACATTATTCACTTTCCACACCAATTCTCCATACACCGCTGCTGCAAGCATTTGTTCATCTTTCATCGGTGTCCCGATCTTCTTCAGCACGTCTACGCCGGATTTCTTCCCTTTCTTTTTGTTGCCTCTCCAACACCCTCCTCAAGTTTGACATTGAGAGTATAATGTGTATTGTAAAATCTTAGAAATGAAGGAATAGATAAGAGATGGTGTGAGAGGTATGAGTTGATGGTGTAGTTTTATAAAGGGATTCAGAAGATAAAGATGACACGTGACACAATTTTAGAGGGTGAAAATCTTATCTGAAATCTGAGATTATAATTTTTTTTAAATATATGAAAATCTTATCTGACATAGGACACGTGGCACAATTTTAGAGGTTGAAAATCTTATCTGAAATCTGATATTATTTTTTTTTAATGAATATCCGAAAATTTTATCTGGAATAAGACACGTGGCAACCGAGATTCTCATCAGAAAATCTTTTCTGAAAAAGAATGGACACGTGACAACCAAAAATCTTATCAGAAAATTTAATCACAAAAGATTATCAAAATTAATGGTTTAAAGTATAAAAAAATATGAAATAAAATACAATGAATAGTATTTGCCTTAGACTTGCCATAGACTTGGCCCTCATGGGTGGAACCACAAATGGCAAGGCTGACACTATTCACGTGAATAGTGGCAGCCCTTGCCCTAGATTTAGCCCTTATGAGTGGAGATGCTCTTATAAATCATGTGCATATTTAATTTAGAAATTTATAAATAAGTCCAATCCTAGACATGTATTTATAAAAAAACCCAAACACTATTTAAACATAGAAACACACCCAAAATCAACCCCAAAGTCAACTTTTTGGGTGTGTTTATAAATGGGTTTTGAGTGTGTGTAATGATGAGTTTTGGGTGTGTTTATATGTTTAAATAGTGCTTGAGTTTTTTTATAATTTCAACCCCCATTTTGGGTGGTTTAGTGAAACTCCCTATTTAATTTTCTTCTCCTCTCTTTAGATTAAAAGTCCCCTTGTCTAATGCTCGAAACTAGGGGACATCAAGCCGAGTAGATATTGACTCCTGTGAGAAGAGTTTAAATGCATTGCGATGGCATGAAAAGAAATCTTAACATCATTAAGAACCAAGTAAATATCAGAAAATGAAAGGAAGGAGAGAAACAGAAACAGGGTTCCAAGTTGTCCCAACAGAGAAAGATAAACATACTGCTTGTTAACAACATCTTAAAATATGAAATAACATCAACTGCTAAAATATCCCTTCACAACAATTGGTCCCAACCAACTTGAAGATTAAGACTCCTTGAACAATACATTCCAATTATTTTCCTTTCTTTTTATTTGTTTTTCTTTTGAGGGTTAGTATAGGCCTGTGAAATAGGTCAGAATAACCCATCTCAGTTCTCAGTGTCCAAGGTCCAAATTTTATCTGACTTTAGGTCATTTCAGCCCATTCAACTAGTTGGACTAGACTGGACGATGGTACCACTAGCACCCTATTATTGCTAGCCCGTAATTATTATTATTATTATTTTAAAGACTTTCGATAATTTAGGAGAAAGGTTCAATCAATCAATCCTCTTATCTTTATATATCTCAAACCGAGCTGAAAAACTTGTATGAAATGTTACTATTAATGCACCCTATTATTGCTAGCCTGTTATTATTATAGTATTATTTTACTATTTTCGACCAATTATAATTTGTTATGTGAAAAAGTTATCAAACGTGACATACTGTGATTGAACAATAATGTTATTCCTGTTTTATATAAGTGTTTCTCCAAACGAGAGATTCATGCATTGGGATCCTAGTGGGAGCAATGAATCTTGAATATTTGGAACATTTCATGTATGAGGAGACGAGACGTTTTGAAAGTAATGTTTGATGAATTACATATTAATCAATCTTCGACTTGCGTGTGGGTCTGAGGTTATGGTTAAAAAAGCTTGGTCTAAAATAAGTCACTTTCTCTTTGTCATTTGCACTAGTGTCACTCAGAGAATCTCATAATGATATCTTGAACTCAGATTTCATTACAAATAAGAGAAAGTTACTTCTTCTTTTAGCAAACCAAAGTGGTAATACTCTTACAAGACCTTCTAAAATTGATTCCTCTCTTTACTCTCTCCCTTTTCTCACCATTTTCCTTGAAGATTAAAGCTCAATCTCCTCCTCCTCCTCCTCCTCTCTCTCTCTCTCTCTCTCTCTCTCTCTCTCTCTCTCTCAAAACTTCAGTCTTTCAAACTTCCTTTTTTAATTCGACCAAAGTTTAGAGCCAATTTGGCATTGTAGTATTGTGAAAATAATCATTGTCAAATTTTTTGTGAGAGAAATCAACTGTGAACGAAATCAGTTTAGCGTTTAATAAACTTTTTTATTAAAAGTGATGTAGATACGTTTAATAAACTTTTTGTTAAAAGTGATGTTGATACAATAATTAGTTTCTGAGTATTTGGTAAATTTTTGTGTGAAAGTATTGTGAGTTGTGTATAATGATTAAAAATGGCACTATGTTGAAATAACTTTTCTATTAAAGTGTTTGATAAAAAGAAAAGTACTTTCACTTTCTTTTACATATTTTTTGTGTTAAATATGTTTCCATCACACCCTAAACATTATTTTAATCATAACAAAAATGTAGTGTCAATAATATGGTCTTAACAACAATTAAGGTAGTCATAAACAAGGAATCATATACAATTTCTTAGTAAATGAGCTCATTAAATTGGCGGCTATATGATTTATCAATGCCTCCATTTTTTTGTGCTACCAGACCATCTTCTTGGTGTGCATCAACCTCTAATGTAGCAAAAAATCAAGCTACCATCCTCCTATGTTCACTCACTGAAATCACACAAAATATTTTCATTTGACATGTACACTGTCATCCTCCTATTTTCACTCACTAGAATCACACAAAACGTTTTCATTTGATATGTACACCACTGTATAAAATAAGAAACTGTTATGTAAAACAAAGACATGGTGAATGGTGATTAATTCTTCTAGCTGAGATGTGAGTCATTGACAGAACACTGGGATATATAACAAAACAAAGAGAATAAGAAAAGAATCCCACAGTTAGACAAATTATTAATTAATTTGTTAATTAGAGTAAGGTATTTACGATATGTTTATGGAGGGTATAATGGAACCATAATAGCTGTCAAAGACTGGCAAGCTAACCTCATCATAAAAGTAAAAGACAGAGCTTGACAGCTGATGAGCTAGGAAGGGAAAGGCATATGGAAAAGCATGTACTTTTGCCTATTGGATCTATATACGTATTTAAGAGTACTCGTACGTTTGTATTTGTGATGAATTTTGACCTTACTTAACCCGATACAAGCATAAAATTCATCACAAAGCATCAATTAGAACCCTAGAAAATTAAATCGAAAGGGAATAATGAAATTTAGAATAAACAAACCTAATGTGTATCTTACCTGAGTCTTGTGGCTTCACTTCAATTGATCCGACAACAACAAAAAAAGAAGAACTAATATGGAAGATGCTATGAACAGAATGAACAGTCCAATGAAACTAGCAAGTACTTTATAAAAGATGCTATGAACTTTATACGTGGGTGACACTAGTTGTCTTGCATTGAAGTTTCTGAGGCCACAGCTCATAGAGGTCCTGTGAAAGAGAAGAGGTGTCAGATGACCTAATATAAGGTATCATAAGAATTTGGATATCCTCAACTTTGTCATAAGCCAAGGGAAAAGATGACTATGCAAGGAACATATAGTACCTTGAATAATTTTGCTTTTAGCAATTCTGAATGTACTTCGGAAACACCATTCACAGTATGGGAGCATACAATCGCCAAACAAAGACATGGAAACCAGGTAACCGAGTTGATGACTTTTCTCCAAACTTCTAAGAGAGTACATTTTCTTCAGAAACATGCAGATAAAGAAAAAAAGAACAATAATGATAAAACCATGTTTCTTTCTTCAAATAAGTGAACATGATTTCCAACATAATGGTGGAAAAGAAAGAAACTATCATGTACCCAAGACCTCAAAGATGTTTAATGTTTACATGGTGGACAGGGAAATCACAGCATGATTATTATACTCCAAAATCCTAAAGTTTTGAGAGTTCAAGCTATCTGTACAATTCTTAACAAGGAATGCTAACTGTCCCAGCATCTATAAAAACCTCAATGACAGGCATAATGGAAAATCTTCATCTCATTGAAGTAGCCAGTTTCTGCATGAACATATCATCTTTTGATACAATACAACGCATATTCAAAATATATTATAAATAAGCAATAAACCTGAAACAAACGGTTATCGGGGTACACTACACTACTTATATTTTCTGCTTTCTGTCTACAAACAACAGCATTGATGTAATCTCCAGCATTATAAGCTTCCTGCATGTGCGGATCATTGCATAGAAAAATTAGTCTCACCTAAAATTTGTAGGAGGCACGAGATGGATTTTATTGAAACATGAACAATTGGATGAGAGAATACTGTAGCTACTCTTTCATTTGGGATTTCCGTGGGAGATTGATTAAAAATGCATTTCTTGAAATGCATAATGTTTAATAATAGTCAAAGACACAGAAAAAAAATTTCAAACAAATTAATCACAACTTTGTATAAACTGTTTCTAAAAGAAAATATGATGTGTGAGAAACAGGCAAATTATCTCCTCACAGGGGTGAACCACAACTCCCGGATTCCGCAGAATGAATAATTTTTGATACAGTATCTATCAGCAACGTCAGGAGAAGTGCTTTTGGGGAAGGTAAATAGAAGCAAACCACTCTTTGTCAGCTTAACCAGCGAAAGAAGAGGACTTGTGTCTCCTTCCCCATCCACCTTCGCAGGAGACAAAGGAGGACCATTTTGATGATCATCTGTCATTGCCATTATGATTACAAACAAGTGATGTCACAAAACAGAAGCTCGGCATCTAATTGAATACGAAGTAAAACTAAAAGCGATACCATTAGCGTCCCAAGAGTTCGCAGTAGCCTCCTCGCCATCTGCATTCTCTTTGGAAAGCTCCCTTCTTTTAGAAACGGCTTCTTCTTCTGAACTGCAACTATTAAAGCACTGAACATAGTGAAAACATGGACATAGAAACAACTTGTTATAAAAGACTACTGATGTCAGCCGAAAGCTAAGAAGAAAATCATGGGTAAAAAATTGAAGAAAAAATAAAGCTTCAAGACCAAAGTGAGCGATCTTGAGCTGGAATTGGCGGAGTTGGCAGATGGAGGAATTGTGTTTAAAACGTATAGCCGCGCGGCTATACTCTTTAAGCATATTGTCGTTGTCGTCGGTTAGGTAAACATGGCGTATTTTTTAAAACGTATAGCCGGTCGGCTATACTTTTTAAATATATTGTCGTTGTCGTTGGTGAGGTAAACATGTCGTTTATTTTTATAGAGTATAGCCGCGCGGCTATAATCCTTAAACATATTATCGTTGTCGTTGGTGAGGTAAACATGTCGTATAATAGTATAGCCGCGCGGCTAGACTCGTTAAATATATTCTCGTTGTCGTTGGTGAGGTAAACGTGTCGTATTAGAGTATAACTGCCCGGCTATACGCTTTAAATATTCGGATATATTTAGAAGGTATAGCCGTGCGACCAAACTGTTTAAATATTCATTTAGGCTGTTCTGTCCGTGTATTTCTTTCAAACTATTATACATTCATGTTTGTATCCTAATAATAAACACGACAAGGAAATTACTTCAAAATTAGCTCTTTTCTCCTTTTTAAGTAAATTATTTTATTTTATTTTATTTGGGTTTGAAAAGATGTTTGAAAATTCTTTTTATTTTAATTACATTATATGTTAGATAAGTTAAATTTCTAATAACACTAGTATTCAAACTTAAGAAAAATATAAAGTTAATACCTTGGTCCTTATTTCAAAATAATCACTTATGGCCCCAAATAAGCAAATACCAAACAAGAATTTAAAGGCATGATTGCAAGAACACCTTAAGGATGTGCTTTGTTCTATTTTACGAATTATGATAAAAATATTGTTGGTTAACTACAATAGAAAACATTGTGGGAGATGCATTTTATATTGGATATAGGCTATACAATCAAATAAGATTTCCTAAAATATAGGAAGCATGACATTAGAGCACATTGGTGGAGATGTTTTTTAAAATTCTCAACACCCTTTTTGGAGGAGAGAGTTCCAAAAGCCGCGTCAACGCAGCTATTGACACCCAGTCTGAAAATTTTTCTCAAAACAACAACCAAAAAAAAAAAAAAAAAAAAAAAAAAACAAGAGGAGAGAGGTTTACTCCATTTCATGGTTTGCCACTTACTTAGACTTCCAATACGTGAACCCCATTAATATTAATTTTTAGTATTAATATTAATATTAGCACCCAATGAACAAAGCACAAAGTCTCCCTCCATCTCTATGTAAATCCACCAAGCAAAAACAAAAACACAAACCCTCTCTCCTTTTGTTACACCAACTGTTGTTACAACAGAGATTTTCTCAAAAGCAAAAGCACACACCACTTGTGCTGTGCTCCCAAAACAAGCAACAAAAAGGCAACAGAATCACCATCCCTTCAATCTCACTCTGCTTCCACTCATTAGAGATGAGGTTGAAGGCACCAATTGCCTTAAGATCCAAGCTACTCAAACCATGCAGAAACTTGTTACAAATTTTCAGATTCAAACTCAAAAAACCATTCTTTATAAGAGCCCTTCACTCTCGTCTTCATTACACCAAAGTTGAAAAAGCTCAAAAGGCTCCGAAGAAGAATCGGATAACGGGGTTCCTGTCAGCTTTCTGTTCAACCTGGAAGCCAAAAGGGATGGACAGATTAGCAGCGCTCAAGAGCTTCTCTGAAAAAGGGGGTGATGGAAGGCATTATCCATCACCCATTACACCGGCTTATTTGAAGGCTATGGCTGGAGAACCGTTGGCTTCGGGTCATGAAGAGGTGCAAGATGCATGCAGGAGTTTTGAGAACTATTTGGTGGAGATGATTATTGATGAAGGGAAAGTGAGGGACTTAATGGATGTGGAAGAGCTTCTCTACTGCTGGAAGAACCTGAAAAGCCCTGTTTTCATTGATTTGGTTGGTAGATTCTATGGAGAGCTGTGCAAGGACTTGTTTTCCACTAGCAGTGATGAAAGTTCATAGTGATTCTTCAATATTCAAATTCTTTCTTTTAAAGGCATAATTTTTTTGTAATATGGCATGTAAATGCGGAAATGATTCATTTTATTATGCTTCTTCATTCTTCACCAAGGCACCAAATCCTCTCAAGGATACCATTTCAGAAAAGCAAAATATTGATTTCGTTTGCAGGTGGTACAAACAAAATCCAAAAGAATTCAATGCACAAACTGACTAAATTGTATTGTACTCCAAAGCAATCATCATTAAAAGTTATGCAAATGAATCAAGAAACAAGCAATGCATTCCCGAAGTTGAAGAAAGTGGCTAGATTAAATTCCGGAAAGAAATAAAAAGACACATGAAAATAAAGAACAATATCCATATAGATGTCTATTTACAGTTCAGAAAGTGATTAACCAGATTCTTGCAGTCTACCATATCCATATAGATATGTCAAAACTTGAAAACTGGATATTACAAACTCAGATTTGAGAGTTAAATCGATTTAACTCTACCAGCTGTAGTTTGGAAAACTCCGACAATTGCTCTCGGCTAAGTTGAACTAACTATTAACATTTCATAACAAAAGTTAGGTTCAGCTGAATTACCAGTTGGTCAGTGAACTGTAAACATTACCAAGGGACGATTACATTTTTGGTTTTGAAACATACACGCGAGACCTCACAATTGTCTCTCCAATTCTAAATCCAGGCATGACCATAAACTCGACTTGTCCTTCATCCAAGACAGCTGCACCTTTGCCATCTTCCTCCACAGATTCCATATAAGCATCTGAGAATTTGCTTCCTCTTTTGACAGCAAATATTTTTGCTTCAGAATCTATCGAAGGTGCAATGCCATGTAAAACCCAAACCCACATTGCCATTCTCACAAATATTTGATAGAACGAAGTCCTTGGATGCTTGCCACTCAATACAAGTGTCCTGTGATCCAGATGCCCAAAAAACCATGATTCCATCATTGGATGAACAACTAGTAGATACTTTTCTCCGCAGAATCTGGCAAAATCTGAATCTGGGTTCTCTATCAGGGCATCCATTGGGTCATCATATCTCATAATACCATCCACATTATAAGCATTCAATGACATCCCATAAAACATTCTCCTTGCAATGTAGGCTTCAAATGCGTACTTCTTGTGGGACCTTTTTGAATATGCAGCTTCCACTTCCACTGCCTTTGCCGCAAGATCCAAATCCCAGCCTGAAGCTTTCATCAAGCTAATTAAAGGCTTTGCAAAATCATGAATGGATTTTGACGCAGCTCTGTAAGCATCCTGAAATGTAGTAATGTTCAAAACCCGTGCATTCTTCCTTTGCAAACTTATCTGCCTTACATTCTCAGCCAGTGTCACATTCACCAAGTCCAAATCTCTGAGCTCTTGTTGCAGGCAGATTATATCAGAGTTCTTAACTTCCGTTTGAAACTTCAACTCTTCCAGCAGCTTCTCATTCAGTTCAACCTTCTTCCTCAGGATAGCGGAATGAGATGAATCAGACTTGGGCTTCACACATTGCGTCTCCTTATACACACGCTTAATCTTGCAGAGAGATTCAAGCTCAGCCATAAAATGTTTATCTGCAGCTACAATCTTTTTCGGGTTATAGGGTACATGAGCTTCCTGAAGCTGGATATAAGCTAATTTCAGAGCTGACACAATGTCAAACAACTTGGATAACTCGGCATCCCCACACATACTGCTTGTTCTCGTAACTTCCATGGGCTGGGGATGGATTTTTACGCCATCACGCTCTGTATCCTCGGTCACATCACTTCCATCTTCACCAAAAGGGGCACTAATGTTGTTGGGGTTGTTGGGATGCTGGTGATGGTGATCTTGGTTTTCAGAGGTAAACACACCAATGGATCTCAACTTGCAAACTTTGGCAAACTTGGAGACAATATCAGATATGTTCGAGGAGGGTTTAAGGGGTTTGGTAGTAGCAAACTCCATTCCTTCTTCCTATAAAAGGTCAAAACACTGAGAACTGATACTGCAGATCTAAATACCAATGGCACTAACAACACTTTTGTCTCAAAATGGGCGTAGCATATCCATGAAACCCGGCTAAGAAACAGCCCACTAATATAACACTTGCACAGTTGCACGAGTATTATATACACCAAAAACCCCGAAATAATGCAAAGCCCTTTTGAGGATCAAAGACCCAAAATCAAACTAGAAACAGAGACCAAAAATTTCAACAAGGACAAAGCCAACCATGTAGAACTTGAGTAACAGCAAAGCACAAAAAATACAAAAAACGGCAGAGGACAAAACTCAAAAAGGAGCAAACTTTTACAAAACCCAAAAGCCAGACAGCAAGAGAAGCGATTCTAGAGCAGCAGCAGTAGCAGAGTACATGCACAACAACAACAGCATTTGGGATTCACAAAACGAAAACTTACAAACAAGCAAGTGAAGGAGCTAAACGACGGCGTTTCAAGAGCTATATCGTGTTGTTGGTCTCCATTGTCCAGTCTGAACAAATGGGTTGAGGCTTGAAGGGGGTTTGGTTTGGTGCGGCAGCAGTAGATGTCGTAAAATCATATTTTAAGCAAAGCATTCATACTGCAAATCACATATACGCGGTGTTTGGAAAAATGTGATGCGAGGTTCAAAGTTTGGTTATTTTTTTTAAAATAATATTTATTTATTTTATGGGAAAGGGAGCTAAACCCAACTGGGAATCTTTACTGTTTGTGTTTCTGAAGAACCCTCCTGCTCTGCCTGCCACCATTTTGAAATTCTTGCTCTCTCTCTCTCTCTCTCTCTCAATTTATTTATTTTTCTGCTTTTTTTAATTTTAGATTTTTAGAGAAAGAGGCGCACGTAGTTACCAAAAAGTTATAAGAATTAGGGACCGCACGCGAGTTTCTTTTAACTTCTGTGTCAGAGGCTCTGAGCGTTACGCAACCCAATGCCGCTGTGACAATTTTCTGCTGCTTTGGATTCCCAGATTCAATCGCAGCCGTTTATCGAAATTGAATAGGAGACGACGTCGTTTGTGGAAAGCTGACTGCTCAGTGCTGATCACCAGCAAGGTGATCTGGATTGAGTGATATTGGGTTCATAGTCCGGTTTTGGGCTTATAGTCGGACTTCCCGTTTAGCTCATTACGATTTTTTTCCAACAAAGTTAAGAATGTTACTAAACTAAATGATTATCCGTTCCTAAATTACATTGTCAAATTTAATATTGTCTACAATACTTCAAATTCAAATTTGTTTGAGTTTGATAAGTTTGGATTCATACCCCTAATTTAGGACCAAAGTTCGAGCTTATGAGTTATTTTTACACCCGTAACGCATATGATTTTTCGAAAGGCTTTTAGGGGCAAGGCCTCTTAGTAGGAAAACCAAATTTTGATAGGATGAAGGCCTAGTTTTAGAAACTGTAAAGTGGAAAGTGTAACTAGAACTTAGAACAGAAGTTTGCCTTGTTGTCGAGATGGGTTAAACTTAAAATGCATGATCACGTGAAGAATCTGAGCTGAATGGATGTGTTGGTAAATGTATGCCTAAAAGGGACAAGAAGTGAGTACAATGTTAGAAAGTGGGAGAGAGATGCAAGCAAACTCCAAAACTTCAAAGCATTAAATATTGAGAGAGTTTGCATGAAGCCAAGCTCATGAAAACTATATAAAAATGAGGAAGAAGGGTGGAGGGGACCGTCTTTATTCTCTCCCACCTGCACTCCTCCTATCCTAGTCATCTCCTTCACTTCTCTTTTTTTTCTTCCTCCTGTTTTCACATATGGAACTCTTAATTAGTTAATAGCTCTTAGTATTGTTGGTACATTATTACCAATACAAAATCATAAGATAGATAGTAGGTAGTGTGAATAACATTCTGTTTGTGATTTCGATTTTGATTCTTAATTTCTCATAAAAAATAAAGTGTTACGCACTCTCTTCGCTTGTATTCTTACACTCGACCGAAGAAGTAGAAATAATATTTGTTACTATGAGAGTGTTATTTGCACTATTCCGGAATAGTACAAGTATCAACTGCATGGTCAAATAACAAGTTTGAAATATACTCAATTTAGCTTGGTCGGTTCTTGTCTGTGATAAGACAATGAGTTATGTTTTGGTAGACCTCTTTTGTGGTCCTATTTTCTAATGAACAAGATATGGTAGGCCTCTTTAAATATAAGATCAGGAACCGGGTTGGACAAAATGGAGACACAACACCTTCAAGAAAAAGATATATGAAAACCTTGTAATGTTGGATGGAGAACTACAAATAAAATATGAAAATGCAGATATTATTTGCACTTCTACACTACATGTTTTGGTGGAGTCATTGCATTGAGGGAGTGAGAATATCCTCCATTAATTTGAAGGTCCGATTTGTTGTTCAGTACTCTTCAAGAGAGAAATACTAAGGGCAGTCGCTCATAATTTTTCAGATGTTCAATATAGTAATAAGTCTTATATATGTATTCACAACTAAGAGTAGCTCACTCATATGCGAAAGACTGTTCACAAGTATAGCTCTTTCTAAGAATTCAATACCCTACCATGGGCACCAACCATTTATTAAAGTATGTATGAGTATGACACCATTCAGATTTGAGGAAATCTAGCAAAATTCTATGCGTATGATGTATACCACGCAAGAGGGATTGAATCCTGACCAAAGATCTAATAGCCGCTAAAGTGTCCTTTTTCAAGAAGAAAGCCCTCAAGAAAAAAAATTGTATGATATTAATAAGCTCATAGTGAGTCCCATATGTCAAAATCACACAATAGTGCTGTCAGCTTTGTTCAAAGAAATGTGAAAGGCAGAGGGCCTGTCAGGACAGGAGAGGATTGTTTGCCCACGCATTTAACCTATACATTTCCCATATCTCTCTATCAATCAAACGCCAAAGCTGTGGTGGGACAAAGGCCAATTTAATTCAAGTTTGAAATTTATATTCACATTTGACTAAGTGGGATTATATTCATACACATGTATATATGTGAGACAATGACTGTTGGACTTGGTTTCTACTAGCAAAGAGGAAGCCTAAGAAAGCAAAGGGCATCAGAGGCCTATAGAGCAGAAACAAAAGCATGGAAACAAGAGCAGGTTTGCAATTTTGCAGAGAGGCTTAATAAGTTAATTTCCCTTTTCTCTCCACATCTGCATTGACCAATGCCCACGATTGCACCAAACAGCTTATTCATTGCTAGGGACAATAAGAGTAATAAAGTTAAAACATGTGTTGTTCTATATGGTTTTTGAGTGTCTTTACTTCATGGCACAAGAATCCACTTCGAAATTCGATTTCTCATTCCTGTAAGTCACGGGTTGATATGTATGCAAAAATAACTCATTATAAACGAAAGGAAATTCTATATGTATGTCAAACTGTGATGGGCAGGTAAGTGGAAATGGCTAATTCCAAAGCAAAGAGCCAAGTGGTCAAGCCATCTATTCGAAATGTTAATGTTTGCAGAATGGAAGGTTAGTTTGGTAAGAGCGGCTGCAGAAAAGGTTATATATATATTGAATAATTTGTCCATGGTCTATGTCGTTGTCTTTCGGCAATTCATGTTAGGAAAAAGGAAAACACAGGGGTCTGTCATCTCCCTATCTCCCCGAAGAGTACATATGTTTATTCCATCATTAATTCCATGTGAAAGATAAGAGATTTAGCTTCCAAATAGCAAATTTAACTTCTTCTTTTTTCCATTATAAGCTTAACTTTTTAATGCTGCAGTGATGATCACTTTGTAATGTCTCATGGGATCATGGATAAGCAAAAGTAACTTTTCCTCAGATATCTTTTATCTTATTGTGTTTGAAATTCATGCTCTTTCTTTTTCAAGTATTGTACTTGATGGGAAAGTTTGCCATTAATTCTGTCTTCTAAATGATCTTATGCATTCAAAGCCAATAAATTTTTTAGGTTAATTTATTCATTCTTGGAAATATAGTCAGGGAGAGGAGGGGACATCAGAAAAGACATTCTGAAACCATGAATTGAATCAGAGACGTGTAGAAAGTTAGAAAACCATGTGAAAGAAGAACAAGCAAACTGTGAATTATATACTGTCCTACATGGTGGCACTTACCAAAACCCATCACCAAACATTCACCATTTTCATGCTTGTTTGTTTGGACGATTTGTCCACACCTGATTTGCCTTTGGAATCTACAGGTTTCGTTGATTATTAGGGGAGGGTCCAGTGGCCAGCCAATTTTGATCAGATTCAGTAAGCCAAGACAATCCCATCCCATCCCATCCTTTTGTTGCCAGAAGAGTCACAGGTTAACGGCTTGGGATGTTTCATCACAGCAGCTTTGATTAGATGCTAAACAGTAACCAGGCAATCTCTCATTAATCTCATCATAGACCAAATGGCAAATGCCTTCCTTTCTCATCCCCAGGAGAAAATACTTAGTTACAACAGGGATAGCACTAATAATGTTATACCACGTGAAAGTGTTCACGCGTATCTTAACGTTATTAATCGGAGATGGCACACTGTTTCATGGAAGTCTTTCAAGTCCACTGCTACATATTATAGGACAGTATGTACTTTTTGTTTTTCCCAAAAGTCCAAAGCAAACAGGGTAAAAAGGGAATTGGGGTTTTTAAACAGAGGCATCTAAGTCCTGAAAGATGGTTGGTGTGCATAATAATGCTGTAACAATTTCTATAAGTTGCCAACTTACAAATATACAGCAAAAGGAAAAAAGAGGTGCCTAATTACCAAGTTCTTTATGTTAACCGCTTCTAAATATGATGCATGCCCCATTGGGATTTTTCTAAACTACGAATTTGTTATGGGAACGCGGTTGTACCTTGAGATTAACGGGTTTACCTTTCTCTTTTAGAGTGTTGATTAATCGCAATCTAATCTATGCGAATTTGAAATGAAGATTGATGTACCTTCCTCATTGTTTAAACATCATTGCACCCATTAGTGAAACCCAAAATGATGATTGAGATGACTTAATTAGGAGAGACATGTTATTTGTTAATGCAGTAAGATATTTTGGTAATATTAATTATAAGAAAAAGGAATTTTTAATACAAGACATTAAAGATTAAAGAAATGAAAAAGGATGAGGCAGAAGTATTTTTTTTTATATAAAAAAAGAAAGGAAGATAGAGTTATTAAACAAAGGTGGGGGTGTGAGAAGAGGTCGGGGAAAAAAACCTGGGGGGGAAGAGTGTAGACTGTGGAAAAGTGAGTGCAGCGGAGGTAGCAGAGCAGCAGTTGTTTTTGCATTTCTGGGTTTTGTAATTGTAGAAAGACAGTAGAGAAAGCCTGCAAGAGAATCAAAGAACCAAACATGGCAAAGCTTAGGAAGAGACAATCCTCATAGATTCACCTTTCTTTTTCAGTTTCTCTCTCTCTCTCTCTCTCTCTCCAGTAACACATTTCTCTGTCACACAATTCCATCTGGTTAAATATACCATCCCTACTTTTTCCACCTCTACAACCACCCCACTCACAGAACAGAGAGACAGAGAGGGAGGAAGAGAGAGAGTTGAAAAGGGGAGGCTTTAAGAGCTGAGATGACAGTTGCAACATGGGAACCTAGTTAATCTCAAAAAAGGGTTCAGAGAGAAAAAAGAGAGCTTGCTAGAGCTCAGTTAATATCAGAAAAAGGTTGTGTTCTTGTGCCATTGGTAGGTTTTCTGAACTTCCCTCTTGTTGTTCATGGAGTTGAAGAGACTGCACAGACTAAGGTTTATGATCAACAAGCCCTGTCTTTTTTTCTTACTCTCAATTTCTGCCCTATTCACCACCATCAGCTCAAATACATGTCCAGGTAAACAATCAAATTTCCCACTTCAATTTCTCCTACTTTCAGCTACCACTATTCTGTCTAGCTAATGTCATTTAATAAGTCGCTCATCCGTCTCTCTGAAACTTAACACATTTATCTACCTTGTGTTAAAATGCAGATAGCAGGTGTGCCTTGAAAGCTATAGCTGGTACATATTTTCAGGTGGGTTGGTCCATTATATATATATCTTATCTTTTACTTTCAAAATTAATGAGCACTTTTGCTTCTTTATGTCATTTCTTTTTCCCATATGAATCACATCAATAACAAGTCTCTAACATTGACCAAGTTTGACTCAATCTGTGTTTGATATAGACTGCATATGAGATTCAAAAGACAAATACAACAAAATAGAGACTATATATCTTTTTATTATTTGATCAAGCCACCATGATGGGTGATAAGTAGCACACACTGAGGGCAGTGGTCCTCTTGCTGTGGTCCATCCTCAGAAAAATGATCAAGTAGTAGTAGGCTCAGTCAGCTAATAAGAAGCACACTGCACACTGGCGCAATTTAGCAGACAGCTTAGAAGAAAATACTTAGGTTTTTTCCTTCTGGTTTATTGTCCTCTTCTGAAAATTCTAATGCATCTCGGTAACTTGCGCCTGCTGTGCTCAGCGCCTAACCTGCAAACCATGTTCTATAGCCTGACTTCCCGTGAACATATTGTTCTTGGGGCCAGGCGCACGTTAGCATTCACGAAGCTGCAATGACATGTGAGATATTGTGACCACACTCAGCGGTCAGTGCACATAATTAAAAAACTGTGTGCGCAAAAGGGTTGGTGTTAATTGTGCCATAATTGCTAATTATTGGGAGATTAATTCTAATTTGGTACAGGAATTTGGGAAGCAAAGTGGCAATTATATGGAGGGGAGGATCAATATGAGGGAGCAGAGGCTGAACATTCCGTTGAGCATAGCAAGGAGGTACTTGAGTGGACCTGGATCGTCGCCGCCTCGGTGCACATCCAAGTGTGGCAGGTGCACCCCGTGCAAGCCGGTTCACGTGCCCGTGCCACCTGGGACGCCGGTGACGACAGAGTATTACCCGGAGGCTTGGAGGTGCAAATGTGGCAACAGGCTGTACATGCCATGAAAATATATGAATAATGATCATATATCATGATTCATGCTTAATGATATTATTTTGTTTGTGTTACGACTAAAGTCTCTACTTTCTAGCCTGATCATGCTTATTGTTAATCAAAATAGGAATATTTATAGGACTTCAATTTGTGTAGAAAAATATATATACGTTAAAAATTTGACCGAGTATATTGTATTATGATCGGTATGGAAAAGATTGTGCCAAGCATTATTGTGGCTGTGTTTTGACTTCATTTACATGATGCTTGAGAAGGAAATGGTTGTTGCTTCTTTCTGCAGGTTGAAACCTCCTAAAGCGATAGTGCCTCAAATTGTGTTAATGGGTTAATTGATATTTCAAACAAATAGAAGTTTAATTTTATTGTACAACACTTTGAATATGGACCTCCAAGTCTTGATATCAACTCATGCCTCACGTGGTCATACTGCCGTAATATTTTCTTTTCTTTTCTTAGGTAAAATGAGGGGGATTAACCCCTAGACACGTAAAAACTAAATGACAGAGAGTACGAGTTCTAGGAACTCTTAACAAATCATCATCAAAAGTAGCCTCAACCCAGCTAGGAATCCCATCATACTACCGTAATATTTTCTCCTTTTTTAGGCCAAACTAGATCAATTTCTATAACTTTTTCTTTTTATAGGCTTTGCTGCTTTAAATTTTGATGGAAACATGAAATTGGCTTTGAGCACAAATTCAGCATTTAACCATCTATTGCCAAGAAAAATGAAAGGTGTGGGCCTTTCTTGTGTAAGTGATCATTATGGGCCTTGTTTTCTTTTCCTTTGCTAAAATGGGCCCTGTTTAGAAGGAACAAGCTCTTATTTGAATCTTTTTAATGGGCCTTGCTGTTTATATCTAACATGTTTTCTTTTTACTAAACGTTGCAAAGGCTTAACGTCTTTTAAATATTAGAAAGAAAAATATCATTAGACTAATAGTCAATTGATTATCGTATCATTAGCGTTACTTTTGAGTATGGACCTCACCTTTCCTCTGAAATTGGACATGGGTTTGAAAAGGAAGTGCTTGTTTATATGTATATAATAATCCTTTTACTCGCCACTTGATTTTCAAATTTCAAAGGGGCCAATTGCGTGTTATGGCGGCACAAAAATGTAGAGCATAGTAGCCACTTGTAAATATCCCAAATATACATGTGGGCGGTGGGTAATCATATATAATAATAAGAAATAGTAGTTGTCAAAAAGTCTATCTATACACATTACTTGACGTGGCGGTTTTATTTGTTTATTTATTTGGGTCAAAAATGGTTTCATCGACTGGGAGACCAAGTTGTTTGGTATACAATAATTGATAAACAAACCCCATATTTTCCATGTTTTAAAGAGAAATTGCCGTCTACCCAAAATTTGTTACTTCAATATAATATAAAGTTAAAACAGTGCTAACACGTTGATACGAACATTTAAATTGTTGATGCAAGTGAGTTTCACAGCATATTTTGATTACAGTTATTCTGGTAGCGCGCGACTCAATATTTAATTTGTGGCGTTGTTGGAAGAGCAAACAAAAGGGATATGGACAAAACTAAGGCAATAAGAGATCAAAGAAGACGACAATAGACGGGATACATAGGGATCCCTTGGATTGATGGTGAAGTAAGAAAGAACCACGAAGTTTCAAGCAATGTTTTCACTGTTCATGCAGTCCCTATTTTGCTCACGTGACGTGACTGGTCTGGAAATGAGGGCACGCGGCACGCGTATGGGCTATCAACCACGACGACCACCAGCTTTGTTGGTTTGGTACACTCAGAGTCACTCGTCTTTTACTTTTGAGGATTCTTTTCTTTACCACGAGAGAGCTCGTGGACAAGAAAATTTGTTGCGTAGGACGCCATGTCGTGTAGTGAAGCCTCGTGTTTTTTACTTGTTATTAAAAGCAGAATTCCAACTTAAAACATATTTTAATATTGAAAAAGAAATACTAATAAATTGAGTCTGCGTGAGAGTGTTTTTGAAAGAGTTAAAAGCATTTTCTAACTACCAAAAGTGCTTTTAATGTTTGACAGAAAAATATACAAGTGCTTCTAGGTCATAAAAGCGCTTTTTGGAGAAGTATTCGAAAATCAAAATTAATAATAGTTTATAAATAAATAAAAAGTTCTTTTTAAACACGATACTCTAAACTTTCTTCAGTTTTCATATAATTCACTTGAACAATTACACATAAGACAAGATTTCTTCCCCTATCTCCTTCAGAAAATCTAAAATTGCCTGTGAGTTTGAGGGATGAGGAGACAGAAATTGCATGTGAGTTTTGTTTCCTAGGAAAAGGATAAAAGCTAACCACTCACCACCTAAAAGAAAGGGATTGAATTAAATTGTAGTATACCTGTGAGATGTCAATGTCACCCGATCACCTGGCTCTTGTAGCTTAAATAATCCCTTTCTGACATCAGTCGCTGTGGTTCCTTGTTCCTTTTCAAAACCACATGTATATCCATGACTTTATATTTTATTATCCAATTGAATTGCGATTTGCATGGCATGCATTTCAAAACCCAAGCTTGGCCCTTGGCCATTCATTACTGTACTGTTGGGGGCCCGATTCATTGGCGCCTTCATATACATATGTGGTTGATGTTACGGTACAAGAATAGTAAGCTTGTGGCTCCTGTGTTTAATTAATTATTTGTTTGATGCTACATTTGAATTGGAGATGCTCACGCCTCTTCATTCGATTTAGGCTCATGAGTTTTTACACACGGAAAAACAAAGATGGTTCAACTTTCCAAAAAAAGTTTATGAGTAGGATACGTTGATGTAAAATGTCCAATTCGTCGTGTTTCTAGTTTCAAGTTTCTATATTAATATATTTTTTTTTGGGTAAGTATTATGAGGTGTCCGAGCCAACTTGCGTGCACCTTAACTAATCTTAACCCGCAAAACTGAACTCGTTACTAGTCACCACCACCCAGAGCCAGTCCATTGATTTTGGAGGCCCTATGCAAATATGGATGTCGAGGCCCTAATATACAAATAGGAAAAAAAAAATCCATATAGAAACAAAAATTTCTAACACGGGAAGAACACATTCGGAAAGAGCTTCCAGAAAAAGTCCCCTTCCAAATCACAGAGCTAATAAATTGATTTTCCAATTTTAATGCTTGGTGAATTCTCATGTGAATAAGGGAGGGAGAAAAGAACTGTGATTTTGGGGAAAAGGCTAAAGCTTGGGTTTTTACAATCCAAAATTTGATGGAAGATGGTGGTAAAAAGAATATTAGAATAATTTTGCAACTTGAGAGTTGGGAAGAGAAAAACACAGGTTTCAAACCATAATAAATAAATAAATAAGAAGAGCTACAGTGTCAGAGTTGGGAAGAGGAAAATGAATTAAATTAAGGACTCTACTCTCTAAGTCGTAGAATTTGTTAATAATTAATATTCTATTCAATTTTGGTTTTGATGCCTTGCATATGGTGTTGTGGGGTGATATTTAATATTTCATTTTTATTTTCATGTTTTAGTTAATTTAATGAGTTGACTTAGAAAAATTTGAAAACCCCTAAATTTTTGGAGCCCTATGCTGTCGCACACCCCATGGGCCGCCTCTGCTACCACCAGGTGTTGCATGTCAAGATCAACTAGTATTCGATCTTAATATTCAGACTATATTCAAAGTAACCAACTGCGTGGCGTGTCGAGATCGACTAGTAAACCCTAGAAAAAGTCTCAATAATAACTTAATGAGAAAGCTATAGTTCCAAACCTAACAGTCCAATCAATTTAACTACCGTGTGTTATTGCTACGACTACATCGTCCCCCATGCCATGTATAAGCATCACGTACACATAAATACGTATGCAATACGTCTCCCTTGTTTTTTTCCTTTATACTCTGTATTTTTAAGTCGTCAGGCTTAAATGCAAAATTCCTAACATGTTGGTCCATGCAAATTACAATTAAAAAGTTGTTGACCTTAAACACCGCCCCAAAATAATCTATGACTAATTTTCAGACATTTTGGTACCGACTTTGCAGCCCATTTTGGTACTCAATTAATTTAATCTAATTAAATATATTCTCACATCAGTTGCTCCTGGTCCTCACTATATAGTTGAAGTCGCAATTTATAGCAACCCCTCTAAGAGGAGAAATTCTCAAGGAAGACGAATATTTTTCGACTAGACTAGCATTACGTGTGACGTATTTTTCATCTTATTGGATAATGTGATAGTATATGAGGTTATTGGATTTACTGTGTGAATAACTTAATTATTGATACCATATTAGAATGTGAGTATCCAACCGAAAATCAATTGATAATGAACGAAGAACGAAAATAGTGAATTAATTTGCATTGGCTTATGACTTTAGTAAGTATTTTTTTAATATTCGAGTAATGTTCAAACTCCTTTGAACAAGGCTTTAATTGAACACCTAGAAAGTAGTATTTTTTCAAGACCTAAAGAAGCAGAGTTAAGGCGGTGCAAATTATTATTTTTCCACCAAAAAAAAAAAAAAAAAAAAAAAAAAAACAAAACAGAAGGGGAAAAGAAAAGAACAAAATGGAAAATCAAAATAAAATAGCTGGCTGCAAGTGCTCGCAAGATTATCTTTTCAATTGTATGAGAAGATAAGCCACTTTCCATCAGCCAAACAAACTTCATCATCTTTCCCAAATGAAACTGATCACTCTCCCTTTTCCACTATCATGCTCCTCAAATCCCACCCTCGTCCGCTTCAAATTCAAACCCCAATCATCTCTAAACCCAACTCTCGATTTCCCCAAATCCCAATCCCCACAAAACCCCGCCAAATCCCCTGCTATAATCATAGGCGGCGGCCTCGCCGGACTCGCCGCGGCCACCCACCTAAACTCTCAAAACACTCCTTTCCTCCTTCTCGAAGCCTCCGACGCCGTCGGGGGCCGCGTTCGAACAGACGTCGTCGAAGGCTTCCTCCTTGACCACGGCTTCCAAATCTTCATCACTGCTTACCCGGAAGCCCAGAACCTTCTCGACTACAATGCCCTAAATCTCCGCAAATTCTACTCAGGCGCCCGCATTTACTACGATGGTGGGTTCCACACCGTAGCCGACCCGCTTCGCGATTTCTGGGCCTCCGTCAAGTCCCTCGCCAACCCAATCGGATCAATTCCAGATAAATTGCTCATCGGATTGACGAGATTTCGGGTCTTGACGAAATCGGACGAGGAGATTTTCTCTTCCGGGGAAGAAGTATCCACGATGGAGCTGCTGAGGAAAATCGGGTTTTCCGATTCTGTTATCGGCCGATTCTTTCAGCCGTTTTTCGGCGGCATTTTCTTCGATAAAGAACTTGGGACGACGTCCAGGTTGTTCGATTTCATCTTCAAGTGTCTAGCCCTCGGCGACAACACGCTCCCATCCAACGGCATTGGTGCGATCCCCCAACAATTGGAGGCAAAATTGCCGGCCGGTTCCCTCGTTTTCAATTCCCGCGTCGTTTCAATTGATTTCGACGACGACGACGAGTCTTTGTCGTCGCCCAGCGTGAGACTGGAGAGTGGAGAGGTTTTGAAAAGCGAGCTCGGAGTGATAGTAGCAGTTGAACAACCTGAGGCGAATAAGCTTTTAGCGGGAAAGGTATACGAACCGGCTCGAATCAAACCGGCTCGAAGTACTGTTTGTTTGTATTTCACTGCAGACCGAGCCAACATTCCAGTCAGCGACCCGGTTCTGTTTCTCAATGGATCGGGCAAGGGTATTGTGAATAATATGTTTTTCGCAACCAATGTGGCTCCTTCTTATGGCCCAGCAGATAGGGCTTTGGTATCGGTTTCGCTTGTCGGAGATTTTGAGGGCGTGGATGATGATGATCTGACGACACAAGTTGTTCGGGAGCTCTCAGATTGGTTTGGGAGTTCAATGGTGAGATCATGGAGGCACTTGAGAACGTATCGGATTAAATTTGCACAACCAAATCAATGTCCGCCGCTAAATTCAATGAGAGACCCTCGAGTCGGGTTGGGTGTGTATGTGTGTGGTGACCATTGGACCACTGCCACATTTGATGGCGCTTTGGTTTCGGGAAGGAGAGCGGCGGAAGCTTTACTTAGAGATAATGCCTTGAGTCGGGTTGATTAGGCTTATTACTTCTTCCTTTTTTATTTTTCTTTCCAATTACACTTCATTTGTTGAAAATTGTATATTCCGACTTCTCTTTTATTAATTTACACTCTCTAAACCTATTGTAATGCTCAAATTCTCAAAATACCAATTATTTTTGCGAAGAAATCAATGTTAGAAGGGATTGCACTCACACCCTTAAGTTGTGCTATATATATATATATTGGTGAACATTTCTGTTGTGATTACTTCATGAGCACATCAATACATCGTGGCATTACTGTGCTCACAAGTTGTTTGATGTTGTTACGCGCTTCCATGATTTCAAAACAAAAACAAAAATGGAGTCCTTTACAGAAACCATTATTGTGGTGAACATGCAAAATTCTCATCGCAAACGGGGAACACAAAATAAGCCTTCATCATAGATATTTTATTATACCTTCTTGCAAATATCAGATACGATTTGTCCTTATGCCTGCCTATATGGTTACATAAAGGGTACATACAATAATTATAGCGGTGCTATTCTTGTTTAGGCAACCTCTTACCTCATTTTAACAGCGTCACTCCTTTACAAACTAAGGTAAGGTTACCAAACTTTACCCTATTCAAAATATAGATTTCGATGTTATCTACGTTATAATCATGGGTGACCTGTCACCTGTTTTGATACATTACAAGCCACACGAGTATCAACGACTCACAACAACTCACGACATGGTGAACAACTAATACTAGCACAATCCTTATCAGTATAAGAGAAATTAATAGTTTTACTTACTAGTATTAGTAAACAGGCTTGTATAGTTTTACTGAAAACACTCCCGTACACGCTGTAGTTAACGTATAACCGCGGGCGGCACAAACGTGTCAGTATTATAGGCATCGCCGTGTTGGTAACTCTCGTACCAACCCCATCTCTTTCGTCTTTCAAATTCAAACTACGACAAAAGCAGCAGCATGTGGAAGCCAATCTCTTCCATGCCCCTCCACAGAATTAAAAAACCAGTGTTTATATTTTAGTTTTAAAAAAATAAAAATAATTCAAACGAAAAAGGGTGTTTTGCTTATTTATTTATTTATTTATTTATTTTTGGGCTTGCAATAATCACATAGTTAATTCTCTCCCGCGTCTGATAATATCCTCCCCATTTTAAAAGCCAGACGCCAACAAACTCAACCTCTACCGAAGCTTCTACCGCAAAACTCTCCATTTCTTGAAACCTCTCAAAACCTCCACCTTTTTCTCTAAATTTAAACTCCCATCCTCCTCCGACCAAAATCCCTAAATTCCGAACCCCCTATCTCTCTATATCTCTGTCTCTGGCTCTCTCTTTCAACCAATCAAAACCCATAATCCTGACCGACCCGACACCCGGTTCGGTCTCTCCCCGGCATCCCACGATGCCAGAGATCGAACAGCAGCAGCAGCAGCAGCCTCCCCAGGGGCCTCCGCCAGCGCCGCGCGTCCCTGACAATGCCCTGTTCGGGAAATACGAGCTGGGCAAGCTCCTCGGCTGCGGCGCCTTCGCCAAAGTCTACCACGCGCGCAATGTCCGCACCGGCCAGAGCGTCGCCGTCAAGGTCATCAACAAGAAGAAGCTTACCGGCACCAGCCTCATGTCCAACATCAAACGCGAGATCACTATCATGAGCCGCCTCCGCCACCCCAACATCGTCAAGCTCTACGAGGTCCTCGCCTCCAAGACCAAGATCTACTTCGTCATGGAGTTCGTCAAGGGCGGCGAGCTCTTCGCTAAGGTCTCAAAAGGCCGATTCTCAGAGAATCTCAGCCGTAAATACTTCCAGCAGCTCATCTCCGCCGTCGGTTACTGCCACTCCCGCGGGATCTACCACCGCGATTTGAAGCCCGAGAATTTGCTCGTCGACGAGAACGGGAATTTGAAGGTTTCGGATTTCGGGCTCAGCGCCGTGACGGACCAGATCCGACCCGACGGGCTCCTCCACACGCTTTGCGGGACTCCCGCTTATGTGGCGCCGGAGATTTTGACGAAGAAAGGCTACGATGGAGCGAAGGTGGATGTGTGGTCATGCGGCGTCATACTCTATGTGCTGAACGCTGGGTATCTGCCGTTCAACGACCCGAATCTGATGGCGATGTACAAGAAGATTTACAAAGGCGAGTTCCGGTGCCCGAAATGGATGTCGTCTGATCTGAAGCGGTTCTTGGGCCACCTCATGGATACGAACCCGGCGACCCGGATCACGGTCGACGAGATCTTGAAGGACCCATGGTTCAGAAAAGGCGGGTACAAGGAAATCAAGTTCTACGACGAAGATTGCTCCATGGACGACAGCAAAATTGGAGGAGGCGAGGAGGACCAGAAGGTCGTCACGAGCCTGAACGCGTTCGATTTGATATCGTTCTCGGCCGGACTGGACCTGTCCGGGCTGTTCGACGACCATTCGTACGGCTCGGCGGAGGACGGTGAGCGTTTCGTGTTGGAGGAGACGGTGGAGAAGGTGGTGGAGAGAGCGGAGGCGTTCGCGAAGGCCGAGAAATTGAGGGTGAGGAGGAAGAAGGAGTGGGGTTTGGAGATGGAGGGGCAGAATGGTAATTTGGCAATTGGGGTTGAGGTTTACAGATTGACTGAGAATCTCGTGGTGGTGGAGGCTAGGAGGACAGGTGGCGACGCTGGACCTTACAGGGAGATGTGGAAGAACAAGCTCAGGCCTCATCTGATGTGCCCAGATGATCACGAGATATCACCGCCATTACCAACTCCTTCTTCGTCTGCCGCTTCTTCGTCTGCCTCTTCTTCGTCCTCGTCGCTTGCCCAATTGATTGACTGAACATCGGTGATCCCAAACGACAGGTCGTTTTTTGGATGTAATAAATAAATAATTAATTCCATGGAAATGGGTTGGTTACAACTTACAGACAAAAAAGAAAAAGAAAAAGGAATTATGGTGGTGATGTGTTTGTCGTGCTTGCGTTTTTTTGTACGGGGAGGGATTAATAAAAGAGATTACTAGACGATTTTGTAATCTGGGATATATATGGGATTAGATCAAAAGATTATAATAGTCAGGTTAGTAGACAATTGTACAAGTTGTACAGAAGAAGACTCTGTGTAAGTGATGAGGAGGGCAACACCAACAAAGAATGAAGGATTAGATTTAACTCTAATCTTACTCTCGACTCTTTTTTGCAATGCATCTTGTATAATTGTATTAATTCATTGTTTGTATTTTCAAAATATTCATGTCTTTGTTCATATTGATTTATTTTTTTCTTCTCAAAACGAGTTTAGTAACTAGTTCTTAGTTTAGTAGCATTTTCGTTTTTCAATGAAAGAAAAGATTTCAAGTTCGAATCTCAGGAGATTTCAAGTACGAATCCCCGGTTTGAGCTGAATTAGGGACGAGAGGGATTGCAATGATATGATGGAGTAATATCAATTATGGACCAGCAGCCAGATTTCTACCTAGAATTTCATTGAATTGGTCTGAGCAGCAGGCACCATAATCATATAATAAATAATGGATTTGACCTTATAACAAAAAAAGAAACAGGTTTAATGGTTAGCTTACCTGTGTTCTTAGAGGCAAAATGATTAAAATACACATGGAATGGAAATTTGTAGGCCAAGCCAATCACGAGTAGGTGAGGGTAAAGGTAATAATGGTCAATGATTTGATTCAATTATTTGGTTCCAGAGTAGAGTGGTTGGAATATTTGCCAACGGCAAACATGTTATAGATTGCTTTGCGACAGACTAATCTGCTGCATTATTGTATTGCACTACAGTTTTCAACGCATTGGTTTGTGCCCATTACTTTAATTATTAAGCCAGAAAGCAAGTAACTATAGGTAATCATACAAGTCAGGCCAAAGCAGAACGAAAGGCATCAATCAATCAAAAGATTCGTTCATTTGGGACAGAGGAGTTGGGAGGAAGCTAGAGGCCTGTGAAGCAAATTGCTAGTCACACCAACCCAGAAAATAACAACTAGTCCAGTTTGAGGACCAGCCAATTCCAACCTAATTGGGCCTTGATTAAAGCCGAGTTATCTCAAGAGGATGTCCAGTCCATTAATCTAATACTATTAAACCCAGAGGATGTCCAGTCCAAATGCTCGTCTAAAAGATTAAGGATTCGTTTGGAACTGTTGTTGAATGATACACTTACGCTGATAATCACTTTTATTAGAAACATGTTGAAATTTTATTTAAAATTGAAATTTAGACCCAAAAATATAAAGTAGGCTAAATTTGAATTTACTTTCTAATGTTTGTTTGTTTTTTGTTTTTTTACAAAGCAATATTCTAACTACTCTAATACATAGAGAGAGGAATCGAACTCGGATGCAGAAGGAAATACACTATTTTGGCTAACTAGCCTAACCTATGTTTATGATATATTATATTTTCAAAGTTTATTAATGATCATAAATAAAATCCATACAATTTAATTTGTGAACTAGGGATTTTTTTTCCTTTTGATTTTCTTTATTCGTAACATTTATAACATCTTGAAGTTGTAATATCCCAAAAAAGAAAAGAAAAAAGAAGTTGTAATATTATTTTTTGGGGTCTACGACATCATATGTAAAAATAAATAAATAATACAGTAATTATTTTTTATCATAATAAAATTCGAATAAATGAAGACATAGTCACTCACTTCTTACTAGAGGGTTTAGGGTTTAAGGGTTGATGGTGCTGATTTCTGAAGTAGCGGTCCAATCCCAAGTTCACAATTAGGTCTTGCAGTGAGAACAGTGCCATTTTCAGAGCCTTCAGGCTTGCCGTCGACGTGGGGTTGAAAGGAGGAAGTCTGGTAAGTCCCAAATGAAATTTGGAATTTGGAATTTCCTTTCATCTTAGCCAAATGAGCTTCTGGGCACATTTGGTATTGGAATATAATTCCTTGAAGGATATCCGAACTGTGAATTTGGCATTGTTAGGACCCTATGCAGTCCCAAATCCTTGGAAACAAACAGAGCCTCTGTTTTTACTGCAAAGGGCTTTTCTTTTCTGAAGATGATAATTTGTCAAAATTTATGCTGAAATTTATCCACTTTGATCTTTAAGTTTCAATTTCTGCTGTGCCCAGTAGTTTTATAAGGCTCAGTTGAAAAGAGGTTTCAGTGTACTCTAAAATATGCATATGAAGAATTAGTATATTGGTTTTTTATTTTTTATCATATCAATCAAATACCTCTGGTTTGAAATGCTAATGGAAATACAATGTATTGTTTGTTCTCCCATATGTTTTTATAGGTGGGTTTCAAATATCAGCTTGAATTTCAATATCTCCAGGTGGTGGTCTGGTCTGAAGTGTATGCCAAAAGGAGATTTGCCTTGTGATAGCCAGGTGGGTTGCTATTTTTCAGAATTCCGGGTTTTAGTGATTAAAGCATGTCTGCAGAGGCAAAACTAAGGTATAAGCTCAATAAGAAAATCAAAATACCTGTTGGAAATTCTAAGTTTTCCAATAATGGAAGAAAGAAGGCTGACAGTACTACTCTCTATGACAGTGAGAAGGGTAAGAAGGGGAACCTTAAACCACTTGTAACTGGTAAAAAGTTTCATGCTACTGAAGAAGGGAGTCGGGGAGTTCTTGATAAAAGGGAAAAGTTTAATTCTGTGAATTCTGATAGGAGAAGGAAGAGAATCTATGGTGACCAGGATGCAGCTGGGGAGACCATGCGTTTTAGTAATTCAGAGGCACCTTATAGGAAGGCTTTATCTAGGAAAGGACAGAACCAAGTAAAGGATAGTTCTTTTGACAATGAAAACAATGTCAGTAGATCTAAGTTGCGTCCTCGGCCTACGTGGGGTTCTAATGGATTGCAGAGAACTGCTTTTGGAACTAAACGTTTTTCTCCTACAAGTCCAAAAGTTTCCAACAAAACCAAAATTAAGGATGATTTTGTAAATGAAAAGAACAACAGTAGATCTCCCTTGCATCCTCGGTCTATCTGGGGTTCTAATGGATTAGAGAATGCTGCTTCTGAAACTAAACGTTTTTCTTCCAAGGATAGACGTGCAAAACAGGTTGATAATCAGGCTAGTGCACTGAAGAAACATAACAAATTCAAGCCTGACTTGAGCAATCGTTTGGATCCAAGTTGTGAAAGTTCCCCGCATATTTCTTTTTCAAATTCTGCCAAGAGGAAACTGCGGGACAAGAAAATCTTGGATGAAGAATCACAGGTGATAGATGGTCAGCCAAAGAAGAGGAAGCGAATTCGATTAGATCCACATGATATCTCAAATAAACGATTTGATGATACCATTGTTATTAACGGTCAGTTTTTATCAATTACTTCTGTTTATTCAAATGTACGTGTTGTCTTTTGTTGGTCCCATGAGTTTGTATTCTCCATCTTTAATAAGGATGTAGATGCTGTCTTTTGCGATATAAATCTCTCTTTGAGATAGTTGGAATTTGCAATGCAATTTTTCAACCAAATGTAGAAGTTTTGCATTTTTCTTACACCTTGTGTTTTTCATTTTTCCCAGAAAGCACAAAGGAGAAGGAAAAAGATGAGGTGGAAAAGGCTGAAATCTCAAAAAATGCACAATTTCGTGCAATACAACCAAGCCCCTCAATCCTCAAATATGTGGAAGATAATGTAATTTGTATGCACTGGTCTTTTGATTTTGGGATATATGATTGTCAATTGTAGGTTTCTATATATGCAGATCTTCAAATGTTTTGGGTATATCTATTTTCTAGTTGTTCAATTCTTGGAATATGACTCTTGTTTATCATTTATTTGCAGTTGTTGGGTCGTAGACGCATGATAGAGCTGAGGAGGGCAGGATACAACACTGAGCTTTCTGCCCCATTGGATAATATTCCTTCCTCTACCAGCTCAGAAAGAGAGAGTATTGAGGAAAATGTATGTGTATACATGTTGAGATAAGTATCTTTGTGTTTCTAATAATTTTTTTTTTTTATGTCAATTATATTTTCAGAATAAGCTTAATTTAATCTAGTGTGAAGGCGGACCTCTCTTACTGTTTTATACGAAATCACATTAGTATTGACATTAACTACCTTTTACAGATATTTAAGAATAAATTGACATTTTTTGCCGCTGCAAAAGTTTCATCATCATTTCCACCTCCTGACCTTCCAGAGATTGCATTTGCAGGTGTGTTTAGTTTCTTTTATTTCATTGATGCAATCCAATTGATTTTTTTTTAATTCCCTTTTTGAGTACTTTACTTCTGATGTGATTTATGAGTTCATAATATTAAGTGTGTTCAGAAAGTTTACTGTTTAAATTTGCAGATGGAATCTTCTTACATGAGACAATAAGTAATGTTGTTGACTTCTATTGCCTTTTCAGGAAGGTCAAATGTTGGGAAATCATCACTACTTAATGCACTTACCAGACAATGGGGTGTTGTACGAACATCAGACAAGCCTGGTCTCACTCAGGTTATAAAATAGCCTTGTTGCTTTCTTTGATTTCAGTAGCTGTTCAGTTTGCTGATGACAACTTTGCTTCTTTGCAGACTATTAATTTCTTCAATCTAGGATCAAAGCTCTCCTTGGTTGATTTGCCTGGATATGGTTTTGCTTATGCTAAAGAAGAAGTTAAGGATGCTTGGGTGGAGCTTGTGAGTATACAACTTTAAGTTCTCCTCTGTTTTCTGGAGTGGAAATTAGTTAATTTATTAGATTTTTTGCAAATCACTGGTGCTTCTTTTCCTGTAAGTTTTGTTAAATATGCTGATATAACTGCTTTCTTTGGCACTTCTAATAGGTAAAGGAGTATGTTTCCACAAGAGTTGGTCTAAAACGAGTGTGTTTACTTATTGATACAAAATGGGGAATGAAGCCAAGGGATCATGAACTCATTGACTTGATGGAAAGGTACCAGTAGACACTCTTGTAAAACTACTATTTGGTTGCACAGTTTATGTGGTAGAAGATAATACAGACCTCTTTATTTTCTTCATGTTGTATATTTGCACGCGCACACACACACACGCACTTTTGTAAATGTGCATACTGGAACCATATGGCTTGTGCCTACGTTTTATGATGTTCATTGCTTGATTTACAGAGCTCAGACTAAATATCAGATTTTATTAACGAAGACAGATACGGTTTTCCCGATTGATGTGGCACGTCGTGCAATGCAAATAGAAGAGGTGAATGTGGCTTATTTATACTGCTAATAGATATATAAAAGTAGCATTTTCTTTAGCGAGACTAACCATTTAAAGACAACATATTTGATTTTGCAGAGCCTGAAAGCAAATAAGTCGTTGGTCCAACCTGCGGTATGGAGTATACTTGTATTTGATCAGTTGATAGGCCAAAGCACACACTTTATCTGCATCATTGTTGAAAATGACGCAATCACTTCAAATGTGGTTCTTATTTCAGGTGATGGTGAGCTCGAAATCTGGAGCTGGCATACGAAGTTTAAGAACAGTGCTAGCGAAGATTGCTCGAGTGGCCAAAGTCTAATATGTAGTCCGGTGAATTTTTCTTCTTGGAATTTGTTTCCAGAACCTTTTGTTATGTCATACCCATAACTCTTAATGCAGGGTGCATTTAAATTCTTTTTCCTTTTTCTATGTGAATCAATCTGTAATAGGTGGTTATGTATTTGCAGGCTGTGGCATACTTCTAGTAGATTGTTTTTGCTTGGCAAATGGCCTGCTCATCTGCAAGCTGAAAGTCTCAAATTCATAGAGATGCCTTTGGTGCAGATTTGTTCGCCTGCACAGATTGACCAGGACTCAGTGCTAATATCATTTGGCAATTTAGCCTGCCTGTCTCAGTTGGCAGGATGATAATGGTTGAAAGTTGACAAGTGAAATGTAATTGATTTTGTAAATTCTAGTTTATTTCTTTTTTAAAAATTTAAATTGAAGTTCCTGTGGATTATAGGACCATTTCATCACAAACTTTTTTTTATGATAGTGATAAAGGCCTTTTTTAAATAGAAATTGACCTGTTCATTCTCAGTAGAAACCAAACTAACTGCATGGAGATATTCTGAAGAATATTTCAATGGCTAGTGCAGGGACCGCTATTTTGAGTACGTTTTCTGCGATGGCTATCTTTTTTTTAAAATTAAATTTTTTTGTTAAATAAGATTCATGAGACTGATAAAAGAGTTTTAGGTTGATTGGAGTAAATGCATTATGAGACCGACCCATAATTAGGATTAACCATGAAATTGATCTGCTGACATCTTGGTCTCACATTGATGAAAATTCATTCGTTCATAAAATTGAAAGAAAAAGACTATCTTTGGTCCGGAGAATCTGAATGATAGTGGGGTACCAATACACATCCACCATGGTGGACTTTCGTGGGATAATGTATACAGAATAAATAAATAAAAATAAAAAACCTTCACACCGTTTGTTTGACAATCGCAGCCTAAGAAGCAACTTTATATACATAAATTCAACTAGTTTATCTAATTATATGGCAAAGCACTATACTAACAACAAAATGCACAAAGAAAGAATTTTTGAAAGCGTGGTTGGCTTGTGTTGATGGATTCTGAGTTGTGGGGTAGGTAAGTAGTGTAGGGCATGAAAGTCTTACGCTCGATTGGTGCCTATAATTGGATTGAATTATATAACTCAATATATTTAAGGTATGTTAAAAGAAGATTAAAAAAATATTATATGCCGGTGATAGAAGATATATTTTTTATAAAAAAAACTTATCCCATACAATCAAACAATGATACAATATCACCATTATGATGAATTAACTATAGACTATGTAAAAAAAAAAAAAAAAAAAAAAAAAAAAAAAAAAAAAAAAAAAAGTTCCCTCCCTAAACCCTCCCACTCCTCCTATTTCTAAATTTGAATCTTTATCCTTAAAGTCATCTCCACGCAAACTGGTGGAGCTAAAAAAATAATTGAAAAATGAAATTGAGACATGTGTATGTGTGTGTGGAAGAGTTAGGTCGAATGCAATTATCTCATGGCATGGATCCAAAATTCCCAATCAAACTTGAACATTACCTCATTTCCATAACCAAAATTGACCAATCTTCAACTGCACCCTTCCCACTCCCTCTCTTTCATCTCTCCCACAAAAACTACACATTTCTCAATCATCTCTCTCTCTCTCTCTCTCTCTTCTCCGTGTATGTCTGAGATTGAGAAAGAGAAATGTGTCCCCTGAGACTGATTTTGATCTTCCTCTCAGCCACTCTGGCTGGCTTTTTCGTCCTCAGAAACCTCAAATCTGACCCCAAATTGGATACTCCGCACCATGAAGAACATGAGACCGACCACCACCACCAAAACCCCAACAACTCTCCTAACCGATTTTCCAAGGTTCCCAATCCATTTTCACCTTTAATTCTCATTCAAGTTTCGTTTTTGTCTTCTGGGTTTTTCTCTGTTTGAACAATTTGGCTGTTTTATGTGCTTGCAGGTTCGGTCAGCCATGGAATCAGGGTTCTGGACCATTGTGGACATGGGCAGTGGACGCTATCTCTGGAGGCATTTTGTCTCAGCGTCCCCAAAACCATCAAATTGATCTTCTTTGGGGCACTTGCTGTCGCTTATAATAACACACACATCCAGGTTTGAGATTGACTATGGTGGCGTATCATATCATGTTGTTACTTGTTAGTAACGAAGGTTCATTTTGGTAAGAAAAGAATCCAAGATGTTGTAATTTTAGACCCAAATGTTGTATGCTCTCTGAAAATGGCGCTGTAGCTGTAATTACCATTCAGCAACAATATCCATCCCATTGTATTGTAATATTGCTATTTCCGTTATCTGGTTTTTGTATTAACTATCAAGTATTGAAGTGTGGTGTGGTTATCTTACTGTGGAAATATTTCACAAGGTCAATATCCACCTCCTCATCTCACTGTATTTATGTGCTATATAAACTAAGGCTCACAACCTTAGGCTGCTTTTATACATTATACGTTTCCTTGTTAATGTTATTTATAACAAGACCATGCTATAAGAAATTCTCCTTTGTCTTTCAACAATGCTATCAGTGTAAACCATTTGAATGTACATTAATCGGTAAGAACAGATACTTCACTTGATGTTAATGAAAAGGCCAAGGAAGGTATATTATGAAATGCACATTTACAATGCCAAAGGTTGGGATCCACCAGTATTCACACCTATGGTTGCACACACAAACATAAGTATTGTTTCTATGTCTGTGGCGAGGGACTTTGTATCTGTTTCTTGGTTAAGCGTAATGGTATTGTTGTTTGCCATGGCTGCTTTGTTTCTGTGCTTCGTTTCTGGTTAATTGAGTTTGGGATTTGAAACCCAGAGAATCTCTCTCTCATATACGGCCTAGTGCTGCTGTCGTATCCTGTGAACCAAAGTGATTGTGTTGCTTATTTGTGCTGGACTTCGTAAACTTCTTCTTGGTTGTTGACATGTGTTAGGGCATTTGCAAGGGAGTGTTGTGATGCCATTCATGTTAGTGCTTTGTTTCTGGCTAGTTAAGTTTGGGATTTGAAACCCAATATAGAGAATCTCTCTCATACTCGCACACATGCATGTGCAGCCTATATGGCCTAATGCCACTTGCGTATCCTGTGAACCAAAGTGATTGTATTGCTTAGTTGTGCTGGACTTTATAAACTTCATCTTGGTTGTTGACATGTGTTAGGACATTTGCAAGGGACTGTTGTGATGCCATTCATGTTACTTCTGTTTGAGATGTAATTCATGTGTGGATTCTTAGTCTCTAGTAATGGTAGTTTCTTGTGCATCCTTGCTTGAAAATTTAGGCCAAGATTGTACATTTCTGGTTTTCTGATTGTAGCCTGTACTTGTATGTGTTATCTTTTTCCATCATATGATTTGCATTATGACTCTTTTATTCCATGTTAATTGCTCCGGATTAATGCTTCTCTCCTATGTGTCTATGTTGCTTTACCTCAAAATTTGTAGCTGTTGTTCCCTCAGTTGAATTTTATTTATTTTTTTGAAAATAGGAAAAATTCATGTCTTTTTCCGGTGAGCTCTTTCAATCTTCAAGTTTCCATGAGGTAGGAGCTTTTGATTTGAGATCATTTGAAAGTTGAATGCTTTGAGTTTCATATTGTCATAGTGTTTTGCCAATAAGTTATCACACATATCAATAGAGTCGGCTCCTTCTTTTGTAATCTCTGTTTCATCATCATTACAATCATATAATGTTGTAGTTATATGATGTTTCTTCATTTTCATTACAAAACTGGACATCTTTCATGTGAAAGTTCCGATTCTTTTTATTTGTTTTGACAAGTTTTAGAACATGAACAACTAGGTGTACACAACAAACTTCAGGATAATTTTCAACCTACTTTAAGCTTACCGATAGAGAATGAACTTTGAATTCGTGACCACTAACATGGGGTCGTGTTTTGCTTCTTGAAGTCTAGCCACTAAATATGAGGTTAGCTTGGAAATTACTATATGGTGTCTTTGGATTTGGATGAACTGGATTTCAGTTTCTGTAAATCTAAAGCATATGAACAAATTGAAAGTTGTATCCTGGCATCGTAGCAAACTCACGACGGACTTGATATTGATGTTTGTATTTACATTCCAAGAGTAGCTGAGTGCCTATGTATATGGTACTCAAGTGCTTTCTTATTTTTGTTTCCTTATAATTCTCATCAGACTATAGTAACTCACCTGATCTTCAATGCTCAAGCTCCAAACACCATAATTTGGCAAGGTAATTGAAGCTTTAATGCATGTTGGGTTGCTACAACCAACATGGAATCACTCACCTGATCTTCTTTGATTGGTTGGATGTTGAGGAATCGACAATGAGACCCGTATGCATCTCCAGTTAAAAATCACTCACGCGCATTTATACCTGTTATCAATTATGGACCATCCCATATTCAAATGATCCATCCACAGTTTGATCGACATCCATTAACTCCCTTCACAAATTCAAAATGATGCTTATTTGTAATGCATGATTTAAAATAGAAGTCAGGTAAATAAGATCAAGAAATATGGGGGTCTATCATCTGATAGAAAGAAATTCAAACCTCCTCCAAACCCAGATAAAGAAATATGGGATAAATAAGAAAACGAAAATAAAATATTATTTTACTTGACACGATCTTTTGGTGGATAAAGAAACAACCGGCCACGTGGCAAAAACATGGGTACTCTTTAAGTACCACCACAAGATCCTGACCGTAGAAAACCGAATCTGAGGCGCAGAGTTCAAACAGTGAAATGGTAAATAAAATATAGGCAAAAAGTGATTTTGGATTATGTGGTTTATCACTTTTGCCACTAAGGTCCATGTGGTTTCAATTTCGTCACTTTTGTCCGTGTGATTTCAATTTGAAGCAATATAAGGACAATTCCTAATTTCTAATACTTATTGAGAGGCATTTCGGTCCAAACTTGCAGCCCCTCCCCAACCACCCTACAGCCACCCAGCAACCCCTCCAAAAACTTATCGTTGTTGTAAACTAGCAACAAATAATTCTCCATTTGAATTTTTGTTGATAAAAATTATGACCATATATACATAAACATCAACTAACAAAATCATAATCGAGCGGGTCTTAGGATTATACAAGGGAGATACATTTCTTTATTTTTTTTTCTGAACCCAAAGCAAAACTCACAATTATAATCATAATCCATCTCATTTCTTCATAAGGGATGATGGTAATCTCCAACCAAAAAAGAAAAACAAGGTAGCCAGAGCAAGTCTACTTCGATCTTTTGTAAGCTTCATAAAAGTAGCCTAGGATTACAACAACGTCATCAATTGCAGCTCTTACTGCACCTTGTGCCAGTGTCACAAGCTTTGATAGTTTCTTATTATGTAACTCAACAAAATCTCTAAAAAAATTGTTGATGAAGGTTGTATAAATGGTACATCTCTTTGTACATCTCCAAGGAGCATTGTTTGTTGCTGGTTTAGACAGTAGGATTGTCAATGTTTACAACAAAGAGGAGTTTTTGGAGGGGCTAGTGGCTGTGGAGGTGGTTGGGGAGGGGCTGCAAGTTTGGACTGAAATGCCCCTCAATAAGTATCACAAATTGGGAATTGTCCTTAAATTGCATCAAATTGAAACCACAGGGACCTTAGTAGTAAAAGTAGTAAACCACAGGGACCAAAAGTAACTTTTTCCTAAAATATATTCCAACGGTCGAATTGGATTCACTCCATTTTAATAGGAAACGCCTGTCTGTCTGTGCGCGAGAGAGAAAGAGAGAAATGAGGCAGAGAAGAAAGATTGGATCAGAAATCCCCGAAAACCTAATCGCGGAGGAGAAAGAAGCAGAAGAAGGACGATTCTTCGCATGCTATCTGTTGACCTCTCGCAGCCCCCGCTACAAAGGCCACACCTATATTGGGTACCTTCCATCTTCCCCCATTTTATTTATTTATTATTTTATTATATATATAAATTCTCAATCTTTTCAGAATAATAAGATCAATCTTGATTTGAACATTTTCGATCTGAACTTCTTTAAAGTTTGAGACTTTCTTTTAGAGCTTGGATTAATAAGAGAGCCCACTTTAACTCCGTGTCTTTGTGTGTGTTTCTTTGGGTGATGCTGATACAGATTCACAGTGAACCCACGGCGTCGTATAAGACAGCACAATGGTGAAATAGGGCAAGGTGCTTGGAGAACGAAGCGGAAGCGTCCATGGGAGATGGTCTTGTGCATCTATGGTTTCCCAACTAACGTTTCTGCTCTCCAGGTCTCTTCATTTCTTTCTTTTTTGTCTCTTTACAATTACTTGTCTATGCATTGCTCTGTATGATCTGTCTATGTTTTTAATTTGATTGATTGGGACCAAATTAGATACAAATTTCTTGAGAATTATATTCTGATAATTATGTCATTTGAGGATATTTCCAGCTTGGTTGGGTTGGGACCCATCTTGAGTTGGCACCAATTCTAGGATCAATTTGGAACTGGTTAAAATTTGATTAATTGGGATTGAAGGTTTTTATTATTATTTTATTATTGATATTAATTGGAAATTTGGGACCTTCTTTCTAATATTCCCTTTGGAACTTTGCAGTTTGAATGGGCATGGCAGAACCCAACTGTATCAAAGGCAGTTAGGCAGGCTGCTGCAAGCTTTAAATCCCTGGGGGGGCTTGTCAGTAAGATCAAACTTGCATACACCATGCTCACCCTCCCTCCTTGGCAGAGGTATCATCTTATTATCTTCCTTGTGAGTTGTGAATGGGTGAATATACATATGCTTTTGCTCTTATTGATGGAAAGTGATATTGTTTGTATGTATCATCAGCTTGAACATCACTGTAAACTTCTTTTCAACCCAGTACACCAAACATTCTGCTGGTTGTCCACGCCTTCCAGAACAGATGAAGGTCAAAGTCTGCTCCATGGATGAGCTTCCTTCATGTACTAAACTATCTGATGACCTTTTAATAAATGAAGATGAGTGGTGTAATGAAAGGGAATTTGATGAAGATATGAATACCAGTACACTACACGATGAAACAATATCGGACTTCATGGGTCATAATTCAGCAGATGATCAGCAGAGTGATAGTGGCAATAGAATGAATGAAGTATATGGATGCAGTAAAGAAGTAGGAGAAGATGAGTGGTATAATGGAAGAGAATGTGATGAAGTGAATGATGGTACATTACAGGAAGAAACATTATCTGATCTTATAGTTCAAAGTTCAGCAGATGATCAGCAGGATAATACCGGCAAGACAATTAACAAAGCACATCGAGGCAGTCAAGAAGTAGGAGAGGATTGTACAGAGCAATTTGGTTTTATCGCATCGCCAGTGAGAACGATATCTTCAAATGTCACCACCTCATTTGGCACAGAAGTAATTAAAGATATAGGATCTGCTGATGCCATTAGTGTTAAATTTGGCCGACCTGCAATGGAACAATTGACAACTGTAGTTGCAGACCATCAGTCGCCCACCAGAAGCTATCTCCGGCCTTGTGGAGCTGAGGTAATAGATTTGACAACCCCAGCTCCCCTATGCAGAAGCCATTTATGTGGCAAGAAGAGTGGAGTTGCTCCTGTTTGTCCTCAGATTATTGATTTGACTAAGTCTCCCAATGTCATCCAACTATAGAAGGACTTGGACATGTATACTACAACAATCAAACAAGTTTATATATGTTTGATGATTTTATGGTTTGGTAGAATAATTTAGAGGAATTTATTGTCATCTTTGCCTGATGGCACATTGTAATCACTATAGTAGCCTTCTGGTTCAAGTCTTACAGTTTGAATGAAATAAAATATCTTTTTTACTCGCTACATTTCATTCGGTTATTGTATATCACATTTCATCTTTATGAGACTGGATGACATAATAAAATTTAAGAACTTCGAAGCCTTAAATTACACTTATAACCGCAAGGTTATCTTATTATCTTATGTTATGACCTACCTCTTTTTTTTTTTGCCAAAGTTAGGAAGGGGTAGGGGGGAAAGTCACACACATGTACCAAGGAGGCAAACTTAGGACCACTAGCGAGCACACCAAAAGCCTAGACCTATCCCCCACATTTATTTTGATAATGTTTTTTTCATTTTAACTCCAAATATTTTGATTGGTAAAATATAGACATTAACTTAAAATTTGAAGTAACTATGGAAATTGTGAAAAGCAAATAGCCTTTGCTAATAAATTTTGGAATCTGTTAGAAGAGTCTGGAAAAAAATAAAATAAAGCTTTGGAAAAAAGATTTGTCAATCTTTTTTTGTCAGATTGGGAAAAAAAGAAGAAGAAAGTTTAACCAGTGCAGAAGTCCCATGTTTCTGGATTGAGTTGATAATTTCACAAGAATCTCTCAAGTTCTTGCAAGCCTTTTTTCCTTTTTTTGGTAAAAAAAGAACAGGGTAATCACTTATTTTTATTGCATGTAGCTTAAACCTTGACATGAGGGCATGTGTTTTCAACTTGTGTTTTGAGTTCAACTATATGATATGATAAGCACTTGGAGAGCAGGACAGAAAAGGGGTCCCTCTCATAGTTAGCATTCATCTACCACAACGCTTACAAATTCTTTAATCTTTTTTAAAGGATCCAAATCATTGAATAATCTCAGAAAGGAAAAAGAAAGAAAAAGAATGCTGCGTTTATCAAGATCAGTATCAAGATATTCAAAATTAGCTAGTTTAATATATATGTAAAATAGATACGAAAAATAAATGCAGAAGCTCCCTTAATAAAAATAGACAAGAAAATACACGACTATAATAACATCGAAAAAGACATTCGGAATTTGAATCTTTGTGACCATTTGCATACAAGAACAGCAACAAATTTATTAAGATTGTCATGACACTCCCAAGGACAAACACAAAGTTGAAACTTTTGCAGACTGAAATGTACAAATAAACATAAGATACCATGGGAAAGCTGGCAATTTGTTACTATTGTGGCTGATGCTGTTGTAGTTGTTCTTCTTGTGGCTGCAGTTGCAGTTGTTGCTGCTGCTCCTGCAGCTGTTGCTCTTCCTCACCTTGCCAAACCCAGACTATATCTTGCAGAGCAGGCCTTATGTCCTCCAGCATCTTCTGGTATTCCAATGTATCTCCATTTGATTTCTTCAACTCAACCAGATGAAAAGTTGGAGTAATCTGAAATATCTCTGCATCTATGGACAAAATCCCCATTCTACCTTCCTTCAGTGCATCCATTTTCAACAATCCATCATCCTTCTTCTTCACTTTGAGCTTCAGATGCTTAGCCATTTCTTCCAACTTTGAGACGATGACTGGGCCAGGTTGTCTGGAAGTGAATCTTGCTTCTCTGTTGAGAGAATCTTTTTCGAACAAGCCGGACAGATCAAAACCAGCAGAAAGGGAGATAATATCAAAAGCATTCAAGTTTGGAGGTCTCACTGGTTCTTGCTTTGCCTCAGCAGCCAAACTACTATTCTCAGAGGGACCAGAAGCTTCTGCACTTATTGGAGCCACATCCTTGTTTTCTATTTCAGATTTCATATTTTTGGAGTTTGTTCCCTTTCTGAACCAAGAACTCTCCTTAACTTTGGCTAAGGAAACCCTAGTATTGGGATTTGGATCCAACATCTTATACAGTAGCCTACGTGCTTCTGGTGAGAACCAATTAGGGCATCTGAATTCTGCTTTGCCAATCTTCCTGTACATCTCCATCAAATTTGGATCATGAAACGGGAGATAACCTGCCAATAAGACATACAAGACCACCCCACAAGACCAAATATCAGCTTTCACACCATCATAGCCTCTCCTGTTAATAACTTCAGGAGCAACATAGGCAGGAGTACCACAGGTGGTATGAAGCAGACCATCTTGGCGCTTGCTTTCAGCGAGGGCACTTAACCCGAAATCAGAGATTTTTAAGTTATCATTTTCATCTAGCAATAAGTTCTCTGGCTTTATATCCCGATGATAGACACCCCTACTGTGACAGAAATCAAGAGCATTGATTAGCTGCTGAAAATATTTCCTTGCAACGTCCTCCTTCAGTTTTCCTTTAGCAACCTTGTTAAACAGCTCACCGCCTTTAGCACATTCAATGACAAAGTATATCTTAGTTTTGGTGGCCATGACCTCATAAAGGTGTATAATGTTAGGGTGCCTAACCAGTCTCATAACAGATATTTCTCTCTTGATCTGATCAATCAGCCCAACCTTCATAATCTTATCTTTGTCAATAACCTTAATGGCCACACCCTGATTAGTTATCAAGCTCCTTGCATAGTAAACCTTGGCAAAAGTGCCTTGACCTAGTACTCTCCCTAACTCGTATCTTTGCATCAGCACATTCGATTTATTCTCCATTCCAACCTAAAAAAGCTAATAAACAACAAACACAGAACTTCCCCCCTGCTAATATGATCTAATGATCCACAATCTAGAGAGCAGGAGTTTATAATAAAACAAGAAGTTCAACCGTCCTCGCAATGGTCATGCATTAACACAACCGGCACTGCATACATACTAGCTGGCCCAACTCGCTTTTGGGAACCAAGAGAAAACCAATTGTGATTTAGAGGTCCAGCACCAGCAAGAATCAAGAAGGACAATTCTATTATAGACACAACTTCACGGAAGGCAGAGTCGTGAGCGCTCAGGCACATCTTTCAGCATTCCCAGGATTTTTACTTACAAAAGAATGTTCAAATTATGCACACAAACACTAACTCGATGCTCTTTCAACAAAATACTGAAAATTTAGCACAAATTTGCGGCTTAAAGCCTTTGAACCCTGAAAAAGCACAAACAGCACCGCCATCAAAACACAAAAAAGCAACAACCTTTCTCACTTCTCCCTAAATTAAAACCAACCCTTTGGAACAATTATACGCAGCGACTCATATTAAGCTCTAATTTAAGGGAAAAAAAATTGAAAACACATAAAGCTTCAAAGTTAATTCCATTTTTTGTTTTCAAGAAATTAAAAAACCCATCCGATTAAGCAGAGGAGCCAGAAAAAAGTGCAAAGGAACAGATCTTAATGGAAAAAACTAGCTAACTCTTCTATTTGCGAAAATCAGCATCAAATGTTAAGGTTGTTAACTGAAAATTACAATTCCTTGATGTTTCAATCAACTCATAAATAGCATCAACAAATTTAAAAGGGAACGAAAATAAAATAAAATAAAAGTCGGAAACCATACCTTTTGGTAGACGAAGAAGCTCTTGTGAGTACGGACACCCAAAACCGGAGGCCGAACACAGAGCGAGAGAGAGAGAGAGAGAGAGAGAGAGAGAAGTTGAAGTTGGTGCTCAAATTTAAAAAATTTACGTTAAAATTAACTTTATTATAATTAAAAGTTTTGGGTCATTATATAATATATTTACCTGGTTTGACCATAAAAATAAAAAGTATATTACCGGACGGCCACAAACCAGGAACACAATCTGTGGGCCCAGCGTTGACGTGTGAACCCATGCGATGCGAGAAAAACAAGTTCGAGTGTGTGCCTGCTCACGCTAACATTCCTAGAATAGTTCTTTGTTCTTTGTTTTTTTGGGAAGCTTTTTGGTTTAGGATCTAAATTTAGAACAAGCATAGCTACTCTTTAGAAATGCCTAAAGATATCATATTTTTAGGTTGTATTAGCTGGCTATATAATCTAGTCAGCTAATATAATTATCTAATAGACGAGATTGATCGATTCATATAGAAATCAATAAACATTATCGCTAAATTAATATATTTTCATAAGTGTAAATGACAAATAGCTCGATATTATTTTAAATATCATTTACTTTTAGGAGTTTCCTCATTTTACTCTTATATAAAAAATTTATGAATTCGCCAGTCAGTGGCGGATCCAAGAATATTACAAGTTACAGTTTATTAAAATGGACATAGAGTTAATCTCATACTAATCCATGACTCAAAGTTACTCACTTGCCCACCTTATCTTTGGGGATTATCATAATACAATTTAGTTTTGTTGATCGGCTTCTTATTATTATATCATTTGATGGAGAAAAAGAAAGGACTTTTAAGGATATATCTTGTAATGGTTGACAACATCTATATAAAGAAAGCATGGGGAGAAATTGGTTTGCGGTGGAAAGAAAAAAAGTGCCAAATTCCAATTTGGACACTTGAAGCTCATATCATCTGCAAAAAGAGAACGTGGCCACCTGCTGCCTTATGAGCCTGGTGACTGTTAGGTTTGGTATTTGATTTGCTTTAGCTCCTTCACCAACCAAACTCAACTACAAGCAAGAAAAAAGTCCAGTCGACATAGTTTTTGATTGTTTAATAGAACCACAAGCCCAACACTGTTGCATCAACAAAAATAGCCCAATACCACAATGCAAAATTGAAATCATTGACTCGTTTATCTACAATTACATATTGAATCTGCATAAGAGAATCCATGTGACAAGGGCTCCTTAATTGCAATTCTAACTTGGTTGGTTTTTATTTTTTGCCACAGGAAAAGAAAGATGGTTTTCTCACACACAGTTTAAGTATCATGAAACCTGAGACTACTGGTATGCAATAAGACTTATTTCCACTAGTTAGACTCCATTGACATTAATACGAGTTAATAAACTAACCGCACCCCTTTAGGACTGCTAGCTTTGAATGGAACACTATGTTAATATGTATTTTTTTTTTCTAGAAGTAAGTACTTCAATGTCAAAAAAATTATTTAAATGTGAAGTGCTTCCTAAAAAAAGCACTTAGAATTGATTGTTTTAAGTTTTTTCACCAAACAAGTAGAAAACACTTTGGTCCTTTCAAAAAGCAGTCCAAACCTAACTAAAATTTTAGTAATTTTCAAGTGTTTTTGCCCTTATTTATTATTTATGATATTTTATTTATAGTAGTGCCTCTTTTTATTTCGGCCGTCTTTTCCACCATCTCAAAAGAGACATGACGATTGTACTATTCTCTACCCCTTTGGGGGTTTGCAATTGACACTTACCAACAACAAAAAAAAAAAAACAAACAAAAAAAAAAACACCACACATACATGTTCTTAACAATTTGCAAGCACCTTCCAGGTTCCAGGATATAAAATGTTTGAAAACAATGACTTGACATTTTATAAACGCAGGTCAATTCGAATTAGGTTATTTTAGAATAGGTTGGCTTAGTAACATGAATACACGTTTATTCTTTAATCCATTTTCAATAATAATGGTATTCTTGAGACTGAGATTTTGATTCACATCGCCTTAATCGCCGCTCTTAAGGCAACAATTACAGGAAAAATTGTCTCAAAGGTTCGTTAAAGGCCACCCCCAGCTTATATAAACAACAATTATTTTCAGGGGTCTTTAACTAATTATATAATAACAGAGTCAGAATTCAAGCAATTCAGTGAGGCACGTGGCACCTGCCTCCATGCTCAAAGCCATGCTGCATCTGTTTTAATTTTGTACTAGTGTGCTGGTGGAAGTGATATAACTGCAAATGCATTTTTTAATGGACATGCACATAAATTATCAACATATAATTATAAATTTTAATTAGATGTAAACTCAAATATGCAGAGTTTGTTTAGAAAGAGGGATAGTAATTTATTGATAAAACAGAGTAAAGTACAGAGCAATTATAGTGTCAAATATGAGTACAAATTTTTCAATGAGCAAACGCAAAAACAATTTGGTTTGATTTAGAGAGAATTACGCATAAATATAAAAGGCTCAAAACTCCAATTCAGCATACAAAAGCACCTGTACTCAGATTTACAATACAAATTCACCGCAAAACGGCAAAAGCAACAATAGTAAAATACAAACTTCAACAAAAGGCAGAGCTATTGAGAATGCAGCAAAATGAATAGAATATGTATGTAAGTGTAGCTGACTTTTACAGTTACAATAAGAATAATCCAAATAGGATCAACATGAACTATTATAAAAAATGCCGCAAAAAATGTGCTTTGTCTTCATGTTGGCTCAAAACATTAGGTCTAAATTTAAGAAAGGCTGCGTTTCACACCCAAGGACCTTAGCTGAACCCAAAGGTTGGGTTTACTGGGTTTTGATCCAAATTGCCTTGAAACTTCACAATCAGTGATGAAAGAAAGCTAAAGTGTGGAAAATTAATTAATATACTAAATTATAACACTCGGTTATCAGGATATTATATATTTTTTTTTTCTACTAAAAAATTAAATAATCACAAGCCGATCCTTCAAAGTAGCGAAGATGCATGAGGCCTGCCACCTGTGTGTGTATATATAGTTTGGTTAATTAGACCCTTTTTATTTATTGAAGCAAAACAATGCTTCAATTCAACGCTTCCAAATCACAAGCACCACAGCAACTTCTCTAAGCAACCCAACAAGAGAAAAAAAAAATTGTCCATGGCTAGCTTCTCATCCACACTTGAAGATCACTACCATGGAGGAGCCTCTGCTTCTGTTTCAATTCCATTCGATTGGGAATCTCAACCAGGCACACCAAAATCCAAGTACCTCCAAAACCCTACTCTCCCCCCTCTCACACCTCCACCTTCCTACTTTTACACAAAGACCAAAACACCCTTGAGGAAAAAGCACTCCAACTCTCTTCTTTTTCACAATATTTTCCCCAAGATGCGTAGTAGTACTAGTACTTCAAGAAAAACATCAACCCTAGCATCATCCCCAGTCTCTTCTTCACCATCTCTTTCTTCTTCTTCGTCTTCGTCAGCATCCTCAACAGCATATTATTCAGTCCCATCTTCCCCTATAACACCTTCGAAATTCCGGAATCGAGGTAGGTCGATGTCAAGCCCAAAGGTGCTGGTTGATTCAAGGAACATCCATTACCATGATCGGTACGAAGACTATGGCTCAAGAGTTTCAACTAGAACAGGTTGCTATTTAAACTTCATTAAGGTGTTCCTTAGGGAATTTCATTAAGCTTTTATAATAGTAGTTTTGCTTTAGCATTAAACATGCTTTGTAAACAAGTCGTAAACGATCACCAATTAGCTTAATTATATCAGATTGGTACTTGGATTAATGAAATTAATGCACGTTATTGAGCTGTTAACAATTTTTTTTTTCTTCTCTTGTGCATGCCATTCGTGAATGAACTGTACATATATAACTTCTCAATGCAGAGAGAATGCGTATGCTTTATTTCATATAATTTAAATGCGTTGATTACTCAACTGCGTGTGAGTGAGTGAGAGCTTTACCTCATAAATTAATCAGATGCATGCGTGACATATTTAAATCAGCTCAAACATATGGACATGCATAGCATAGTGTGAGGGTTGGTCCAATTGGTAAGGTCCTTGCATTGTGTGTAGACCCACTAGTATTTGAGTTCCCGTTATTAGCAATCCTTATTGGTGTGCGATCTGTAATTTCTTACATAAATCCATACTGGTGGCAGCTGACAGTTGGATGCCACACGCAAGTCCTTCTGGCTCGAGGTTATGGGTTTGCCCTGACACTAATGGTGAGAACAGTCAATCTTCCCTAATTTTTGCAAAAAAAAAAAAAAAAAAAAAATGCCTCCCAGCTTCTTGCCACATGTCTTGTTAGGTTTATTTTTTAGGCCCATTTCCTGCCCTAAAATTGGCCACCAATGTCGGCCTAAACTCATGTTTTTCTCATGGCTAACAAAGAAAAAAAAATACAGGAGTTGCCGGCCCTATAAAAACTTTTTATTATTATGATTATTATTAATATATTGAGGTTTTTGAAATGAAAAGTGAGATTAAATTTGTGTTTTTATTGTCAACGGGGTTTAGTCTAGTGAAAAATGACATTAATTTACAAATAAGAGGTCTCAAGTTCAAACTCTCATAACATCTTAATTGTGTATATGTGAGAAATCCCCCTCTCGTTTAGTTTATATTATCATTTGTCCTATGAAAAATCTGTACTTTTGTTTGTACAAAATAAATTCAATAAGAGAAGATTGTTAAAGATTGGGGTAAACATGGGTGCGAATTGATAGCCTTGAACTACGGGTCAAACAAGAAAGATACAGCTTGTTTTCTTATGTCAGAATGGAAATGTATAATTGTCCATTTTCTTGGGTTTTCCCTTTTTCTTTACCTACCACCATGCATGATGCTTACACTAACGGTGAGTCGGCCTGCACCACAGAGATATGAATTATCACTTGAGCTAGAGCGTTCATGGGGGACAGGATCTAAATACAACTTCAACTTGTCCTTTTGGTGCCTACTAAATATGAACTGTGCTTTAGATAGGGGATCGGCTTCCCCTTTTATTGATCCCTTAAATAATTTTGTTTGATATCCTTTAGGATCCCTTATGAATATTTTTTCAACAATCCAAATTATATATTTTTAAGTCTACATTCATAGATCATCCTTGTAAAACATTAAACAAATTGAAAACCGTTTCGACATTTAATTGTGTCCTACAAAATCAATGAACACGGTGCTTCAAGAAAATAGTAAAATTTCAATAATTCAATTGAGTGGTTAAATAATATTAGATTCAAGTAATTTTTTTTGTATAGGTGATCTTTGAATGAATATTTACAAAATATACGGTTTCGATTAATGAAATACAATACGGAATGAACCATATAATGGCTTGTTTGGTACACCGTATTAGACTCTGGATAGGAGTAAATAGTCAATGTCAGTTGTTTGGTGTTAACTTGTATTATTTAATTACCTAACTATTTTAAATGGGTTGGACTTTTAATATTCTCATTACCTGACTAACTAATACAATTCACACACCCTAGTTTAGATAATACACGCTTAATTATACCACGAGGAAAATAGAACACACACGTTCACGTGAAAAATCCTATTTTCATCTTCTTCTCCCTAGAGTTCTTCTCTACTATCTTCTCCACATGTTTTCTCTTCACTCTTCTCTAGGTATACATCTCTCTCTCTCTCTCTCTCTCTCCAATATACTTCTTCTCTCTTCTCCTGTCTTCATCTTCTTTTTCTTTATATATTTCCTCTTTTATTAAATTTTGTGAAAATTAGGTTATGAGTTTTTATTTTTGTGGAAATTAGGTTAGGAATATAATTGCATCGTGAAATTATTTATTTGTTTATGTTTTGCATTGAATTGAAACTCGATGTTTCGGAGAGCAACCAAAGCCCTTGGGTTTGGTTGCTGGGGATTGGATGAGTGGATGAGTTTGGATGAGTTTGGTTCATAATTCAGTTTTCCAAAATTCAAGCTTCAGTTTGGTCGATGAGTGGATTGTTTGATTTAATATGGTGAATGCTGAAAATTAAATTTTAGTTAACTAAATTAACTAAAACGTATTTAGTCAAATACATGATGATGGATGGATATATGGGATTAATGGCAAGAAGTAGCAGGTAAATTAAAAGCCCTTTTAACTTCCCACTAAATTACTCCCTAATTTCCCCATGAATTTCAATTTTCATTAAATTATCAAAGTATTTATAATAATAAAAAAATTTGTCTAATCCGATGTTATTTGGAACAACACCAAACACAATATAATTTAATCATACTATTTATCCAGAACAATACCAAACACCTTATAATATTATAGATAAACAGTCAATGCTCTTCAAAACATATTAATATTATAGAAATTAATCAGTACAGTCCGACATACCAAACGAACCCTGACAGTATCCCTCAAATAATTTAACCACTGTTATTCTATACATGTACTCAAGTGGTAATTGATTAGAAAATTAATACGACACCCTAACCATTTATTTGAGCCCATTTTTCAATGTATATCATGATGAGAACCTTTCATCTTTTAGGTCCTCATTGAAAAATTATCATTACAAAAGTTCATTAAAATTGAACTTATGTAACAATGTTGAAACAAAAAAGACGAGCGCAATGATACGATAGATAATAAAGTTATTTAATATAATAATTAAATGGTTAGACGATTTTGAATTTGCTATAAAATACTTATAGTTATGGTCCTTCAATGAGAACCTAAAAAATGAATAGTTGAGATCATGAATTTACATTACAAAAATTGGCACAAAAGAATGACTAATAACTTAACACGATATACAATTTGAATTGCAAAAACAAATATATCCTCAAATGGCCCAAATTATTCTATGGCATTGTAATAATGCTATGTGGTGTTAGCAAAGAGTCAGATGATAAAATTATGCTTTGGAGCCCAAGTAAATGGTCCAAAATCCCAAACACAAGAAAAGGAAGGAAGTTATATCTGTAATGGACCTCATCAGAAGTTTTCCTATTTATGATAATTTGGGTTTATTAGAATGGCACAGTGACTATTTTGGAGGGCACTAAAAAATTTCTTACAACAATTTCTAATATAATATAATTTTATTGATAGGATGATATGAAAATGCTCGTGTAAAGTGAGACATTACACCCTTGACAAATTAGTAAAAATAAAAACCATATCACCGACTTTGAGAATATAATATCAGATTCTTGAACCATTTTCTCATACCCTTTTGTTTCTTTCTTATAATAAACATTCACCTACTTCCAAATTGCCTTGCCTTATAAGCACTGTCTTCCCCCATTCTCAAACTTTCTTCTTTCTCCTTCTCTCCTCTCTTTGCTTCCCAACCTCATCCAGAGTACAATAGCAGAATATATGTCCAGAGACAGGTACCTATTTTTCTCAAGAGGATTGTTAAAGATGGTGGGAAAAAGATATAATTTCTCTTCTTTTTTTTATAAATTTTGTGTTGTTCAGATCTTTGTATATAGATGATTTTTTTTTTTCTCCTGACTAATTTTAATTTCTTGTTGTTTTCTAGGGACATCATAACATTGGTTGAGATAGGAAAGAAGATCAGGAGGGAAAGTGATCCATCTGGTGATGATCAAATGGGAACCATGAGCACTGCTCGACATAATAATTCCTTTGGTCTTCCTCAAGGGATGATGATGATGAACAACACAACCTTGAACACAATCACACCTTGTGCTGCATGTAAGCTCTTGAGAAGAAGATGTGCTGAAGAATGCCCTTTCTCTCCCTACTTCTCCCCTCATGAGCCCCAAAAGTTTTCAGCTGTCCACAAAGTCTTTGGTGCAAGCAATGTTTCCAAGATGCTAATTGTACTATTTATCTCCACTAATTTTTTATTAATTACTTTGATTTTACCATACACCACAATTAATTTCATCATGTTTTTGTTTTAATTATGTAGGAGGTGGCTGAGAACCAAAGAGCTGATGCAGCCAATAGCCTTGTTTATGAGGCAAACCTGAGGCTTAGAGACCCAGTGTATGGTTGCATGGGTGTAATTTCAAACTTGCAGCAACAGATTCAATCTCTCCAACAAGAACTTAATGCAGTAAGGACTGAAATCTTGAGATACCAATATAAAGAGGCCACTAATCACATGGTTTCTTCTACGAATATTATGCACCAACATCCTTCTTTGGTTTCTACTTCTGGGATGGTGTCCATTGCTGGACCACCACAAGCAATTCCAACGCCGCCGCCGCCACCACCACCACCGCCTTCTTCAGTTGTGTTTTCTTCGTCTTCTTCGTCTTCGACTTCTTCTTTATACAATCCGTCTACAAACACCACAGGCTATAGCTCCATGTCAAGCGACAATATTCCATATTTTGATTAAAATGCCATTTTTCTTTGTTTAATTTCTGTTGATTTAGGAACTATCATGTTTGATAGAGTAGAATAGTAATTTAACTTATCTCTACATATGGGCTTGATACAGTTTCCTTTCCTTATGATTGAGAATTCACATGAATATATATTATAAAGAAACATAAACTCGGAGTCTAATTTCAACAATTTATTCCAAGTTTTGTAAGTTATCTCTTTTTAATGCCTTAATTAACAAGGGTTTTTTCTTCTTCAAATGGGTTCATTTGCTATGAATATTTGATCTCATTTCACGCTCATATCTTGTACTGTAATTTTCTCCATCTTATAGGGCATTAACTGACAGACTATTCTTTAAATACAAAATAAACTTTGAAATAACTTAAAGGTACAATAATAGATTGATAATAGATTGTGAAATCTGAAATGCAGTAGGTTGAAGCTAGACAAAAATGTTGAGAGTGTGAATACATATCGGGAAATTAGTTCTTGCCTAATAATTTAAAAGATATATATTCTTGAGTCTCTTCATTTATTTTCAATTGGTTTTGAGTTAAATATTTATTTTTTAATGTAATATAAAAGCAAACTATTCATATATTGAACGCAATGACTCACATGCTCTCACATCGCCCGATATATATTGTACACCTATTTAGCTTGAGTTATGCCAGGAAGATGTATTTTCCAATAGGGTTGGCAGGTGCTGACAATCTTGAAGTACGGTTGGCACGTGTGAGGGGATTTGACTTTAGCTTTAATTTAGGTCTACATGGTACACATGCGTCATGTTAATCTGTGCCAGTGAAGATGAACCTGAAACCTCATTAAACTACTTTCAGGCCGGGAGACAAAAGGTATAATCCCCTGTCAAGTTTGAAATTTTATTCGACCAAAATGTAGTTTGAAACTTTCTTCTTTACTGGTCTAGCTTTGATTTTTTTGATTTTTATGGGGGCTCTGCTTTGCACATTTCTCTTCTAGAGATAATTATATATGCTTTATGCTGGGAGGCAATTATAGTGATCAATCTGTGCCAGACAAGGGTTATTTTTGACCCATATTGGTGGCATGGTGCAGACCAATTTGGTGACACAATCTCTGTAGATTTGACATGCCTTGGAGTTTTTCAAATTATTCTGCCAAACAAATACCTTGTGTTATTTGGATTTTTCTGGTCATCCACAAAATCAAAGAGACATAAGAGGGAGAGAGAGAGAGAGAGGTATATAATATGTATATGCGTATATGTCTCTTTCCCTTAGTAAGATTACGGTGATGTATACCATATACTTAATTAACAATACATAAACCCAGACACATACATGACAATGCCTACACGTTCTAATTTTATTAGGACTTAAGTTTCCTTTGCGTGTGGAACTTAAACTGATATGGTGAGAGGCATAAAATTGGTTATATTATATATGCACCAAAAAATTGGGTGAAGACACGTCAGATAGATTGCCAAAAACTTAATTACATCAAAGTTTGAATTCTCATTCTCGTTGATTAAATTACTTAAACTATCTCTTATATTTAAAAATAAAATAAAAGACTACCTTCTCCCCAAGAAGAGAACATCTGTGTATATACAGTTATGTATACAGCTAATTAAGCAACTAAATTATCACAGATTTAATAATAATAATAAATAATATAATCAGATTCACATTTTCTTCAACAGTGATTGAATAAATAATTGTTTTGACTGACATGTTGCACATTGACTCTTTCTAATTAGTTGGATGTGAACACCAATCCTGTGTGAGGCTTCCTAGATATTATAATTATAATTCAACATGATCAGTTTGGTGGTTCGACAAAGAAACATGTCAAATTGTCAATCAAACATTGCATTAATTGGGCTTTATTTGAAAATGAGAGGAGCTACTAATTGCTTGTGACAATTGAGAAAAGCCATGCTGCACAAGTTTTACTCAGTCCACATGCATTCACAATTTCGTCATGAGGAGATTAAAATAAATTAAATCACTTTAGTAAACTCAAATTCCAAAACATTTAATCAGCTTATCTGCGAGATTCTACAGTGAGGCTGTCATATATAGACTCCTCATGTGAACCTTCATATTTGTCACATGATCATTTTATTAAACTCAAGTGAAATTACGATTTAGATGAATCATGTGACTAATATGAAGATCCACATCTATGGTCATATGAGAACGACTTATCTTATATATGGTAATGGGTTGGAAAAAACAAGGCTGACCAAATCAGGCTGACCTGATTCTTTTATCAGGATTTGGACCTGACCCAGTCTATTGGGTTTTAACAAATCAATAGAATTGAGTTCAAAACCAATGGGCCAAATTTACTTTGTTCGATTTGAAACAAAATAATACAACATTCCATCAACAATTAATTGGTAAACAACTTGAGCTAATATGAATTTCTTGAAATAAAAAACATGCTTTTATTCGTTGGAAGAATAAAAAACACCAGCTAATTAAATTCTCACTCAAGTCAACAAACAATAACCTTATATCACACACAAAATTATAATTCTCCCAACTTCTGGGTGAAACCTCCAATTCTGGTTTATTCTTGTGACAGAGAAAGTACCTCCTGAGCTTAGCTAGCTAGTTAGGCCTCCTACAGTTCAATCTAATCTCACCGTTGGATCCAGTGAGTGGCTTATTATCTCCCATCTTGATCATTGCCTTGGCAAAGTCAGAATTGAAGGTATTGGCACTGCCGCTGTACGTTTTAACCAATGAATCTGTGGATCCACCATTGTTGAAGAGAATTTGGTCAGAGTGGAGGAGGCCCTTTTGGTTGATGAGGTTCTTGAAGTAAGCAGTGTCAAAAGTGTCGGGAGTTTGGACGTCCAAAGGTGCAAGGTTGTTGTCTCCTGAGCCAGCGGTACTTGGGCATTTGCTTTGCCTGACCTTGGCAAATGATGCATCAATGTTGGTCTCGTTGTATATGCGAGCTCTGAAAGATGTGCACCTTGCTTTCCCGATTGTGTGCGCTCCTGCCATCACGTAACATAACATGTCAGACTATCTGATAAAATTAATGCTTCTTGTATACAAATGTTTTTATTATTATACATAAATGAGAATCATACATCATCGAATGTAAACAAATGAAATACTGTACATCAATTAAGGGGGTGCTGTGATTATTACCAGATAGGGCTACCAAGTCCCTTTCATTGAGACCTACAGCTTGGAATCTAGTTTTGAGGTTGCTGAGGGTAGAAGTGGGAGGAGGGATGACTCCACTGTTGGCAGCAGTGAGGCTAGCTGTCTTGGAATCCCTTCTTCCAAGTTTAACATTCCAACTTGGTCCTCCAAGCTGCAACAAAATAAAAAGCAAAGTTTCTAAGTGTCAATAGAATAAATTAATATCCCTAAAAAATATTGGATATTAACTGTTTTGTTTAATATTAGTATCATGTGGTTTTGTTGTGATGTGTAAAATTAAGTGTAAAATTTGTATTAGTTACTCACAATCTTAACGGAGTCTCGAGCAGCAATGGCTAAAATATCAGCACATGAAACGACGCCAGGACATGTTTTTTCCACTTGGGACTTAATCTTATCCACAACCTCAAATCCCCTAACAGAGTTATTATTGGGACGTGCAGTCTTCTCTCCTTTGAAGGAAGAAGTGTCGTCCAGCAGTATAGACCCATCACAACCCTGGTTATGATTAATTAAACACCACATGATTAGGTACGGGAAGGGAGATCAAACTCGTGTACAAAGAAAAAGTAGACACATTACTTTAGTCAATTGGTCTGACCCCACAACTATTAATAATTTTTAAGTTACTATTAAACACTAAGACATATAATTGTTTAAACATGAAGCTGTAAAGTCAACATGTATACGATGTTTACTAATCAAACACCAACATAATTTGAATAAAGAAACACTGAGAAAATTAATTATTGGTATTAGGTAATGTTCATGCACTCATGATGTTGAAAATATTTTACTGCCGTAAAGGGCGCCTTTGGGATTTCATCATCGAAGACTTGGACTTTTGCCATACATGCATGTCTTCAACCTGCGTGCAGCATACTTGAATTTTCGTAGGGAGAACACAGAAAAGTGAGGAGCACCGAGTTTTTCTTTTTCATGCAAATACAAGTTTCATTTGTTTTCATCATCCCCACACATTATTGTAGATGTGACACAATGATTGAATTTTGACAACAACAGGGGAGACAGAATTTGTAATTAAAAACAATATCACATGTTTTTCTTCATGATATATAAATAAAAACAAGAAACATAATGCATGCTATCATTTCATTATTAAGAGGTAGTATGACGTGACAGCATGTGAGATAATGTGTTAAAGTTCATCATAAACTGTTAGCATTAAAAAAAAACAAATTAGCACTCTTCATGTTTAAAGTAGAGATTATTTCTGCCGACAAGTCCTGACAACTTGAAAACTGATTTTAACAAAACCGTACGACAACTATTTTAGATTTTAGTTATAAAAAAAATTTCACTTTTGGAAAAAGTCAAAACTATTTCAAAAAAGACAGAAAAACCTCTCAACTTTCAAACTAAAGACATATAAATGTAAAGGATTCTTTAAGAAATCCAAAAATAAATCCAGGCAATTTTGTTCATTTTGGCTTCTTTTAAAAATTTCCTCTCTTATTTGGTCTTTTCCAAAGTCTCCCGTTGCAGTGGCGGTTCTAGGATTCAAAAGCCGATTGGGCAAAACTTACATACTAAACTAGATGATGCGAGTGAATTTCATTAATAAACATAAAAATATATACCTAGTCAAGGAAACATAATAAGCCATACCCTCAAATGCATTTCTATCCATAAATAAAAGTTCAACAAAACTAAAACTAAAACCAAAAGTAAATGCAATGCAATACAAAACAACACTATTTTATCTAAAATTTAACATTGCGAGGCTTGAAACTCTTAAAAGATAGCATATGAATAATATGTATAAATTTTTTAATCAAACATACAATAAAAAATCAAACAAATTTTCATAATAGCATATCAATAATACCAAACCAAAATTTATAATTCACCCCAAAATAATAGAAGATGTAGCCAATATAGGAGGAATTTGAACCCCCCCCCCCCCCCCCCCCCCCCAAAAAAAAAAATAGAGGAGAAACTTGTTGTTGTCGGGCAACAGAGAGAGAGAGAGAGAGAGAGCGAAACAAGAAGTCTAATAGGCCGAAAGAGAAGGAGAGAGAAGATATGGAACCACATGGATGGGCAACATATGTGTAGGGTTTGTTTTATAATTTTTTTAAATTTTTGGATGGGCTTATAACACATGTAGGTAATTTTTTTTTATAAAAATTTGGGCTAGGCAGGCACCCAGCATGCCCTGTGCATAGCACCGCCATGAGCCGTACTTAATGAATATGTAACAGAGACAAATTAAATGTGAGTTAAGTTAGTTGGCCAAGACAATGAGCTCACCCTCTTGCACCCATATTCAAGTCCCCCCTTCCTATAGATTGAATCAATGTAAAATAGTTTAAACTGTAGCTTATATATATATATATATATATAAAATGAATAAGAAATAATTACATTAACAAAGCAGTCATGAAAGTGAAGGCGAAGGAGGGAAGCTCCCATGCGCTTTTCTTTGTTCACAGCAGACTGCACAACAGATTTGACTGCATCAAAAACCTTAGGGCATCTCTTCGAATAGAAATTTGTAGAGAGCTGAGCAGAAGAGCTCCCGGTGAAACCCACAAGAAGGACAATCACCCATATGGAACACAGAGAAGAACTCCTACCAGAAGCCATTGGCAATTTCAAAAGCTGATTAAATTAACAATGGGTTTAACAAGGGTTTAGGAGTGTGGTTTAGCTTTGGCAGCTTAAGAGAGCCTGTGGTGTATGCATGGAGATTAAAAGGGTTTATATTTATAGAGGAAGAAATGAGAGGAGGGAGAGTTTGGCACTGGTAGGTTACCTAATCTGAAAGACTAAGACTAAGTATAAGCAGTGCATGGCATGGGATTTCTACGTCTAGAACTTAATTAAATGCATTATTAATAATTATTAATTAGCCAACTGTAAGGATTGAAAATGACAGACCAAGTAAACACCAAAACACGTTTAGTGAAATGAACCAAAGGCGACAGTCAGTCGGGGAATGGATCAAAATCATACTTTTGGGGGCTCCACTAACTTTGTCTTTTAAACTTTTTTGGGATTTCTTGAAGATATCATGCAAAGAATTAAGCAACTCCAACCACACAGAAAATAATTGGAGGGCTTGTTGTTCGTAAGCTTAGATCGAAGGTTAATTATGTTAAATTTATCGAGCGTAAAGAGTTTGGGAAGACCCTAATTTTTCTTTTCAAATCATTATAAAATCTTGATTAGTTCTAAGTGAGGGTGATTTTCATGTTTAAAAGATAAATAGAGAGAAGGGTTGAACGAAGAGCTAGTAGAGTGAGAAAGTAACTAGGATTCCTCATATTCATCTTCGGCCATCAATTATAATACAAAGAGATGTCAATATGAATTCAAATTTGAGACTTCTGACCTGCAAAATTAAGATTATTTTTCATTGGGCTAGACATTTAAACGTTTTTTCAATTGCTTATCTCTCTATATATATTGAAATTGTAAAATAATAACACTTTTTATCTCACTCTCCATATTTTCAAGATTCCCTGTGGTTCTTTTTTGAACGAGATACAAACACTAGAGACTAGAAACCGCCAAAAAAGAGGAACACATCAAAAGACAAGTAGCAACTAACTTTGTATCATCTCTGACTAAAAAAAAGAAACTTGAATAATCAAAAGATAAGATTAAAGTAATTGCAAAGACTTGTCTAGCTTCATGTAATTTCCATCCTTTCTTCCTCAGAGAAACGTAGCTACGTAAAACCAAAATACATAAAGAAAAACAGTGCTCTTCTAGAAATAAAAAAAAGCATTAAATATGCCATGAAAAATTGAAGGAAAAATGATTGAAATGTTTGGTTACAAATGACTTGCGACTGAGTATTTTTGGCAGGTCGTCTGTAGCTATCGCATACAAATGGACAAGGGCTTTCAGACAAGAAATTTTAAGTTTTGAGCGTGACGAGATGACATTTGTAGCCAAACAGAGATAGGGTCATTTTAGTAATGATGTTGATTTGATTATTGATGAATTAGTTAAGGATGGATAATCATATCTCAACCCTGTTTTTTTTTCTTACAGAGTACGTAGTGATTTGTAAAACCGTTAATAATTATATACTTAGTGGACCCATATGCGTGTGGTTAGACCTTAGCTAGAAGATTCATGATGTGACTCGCAGTTATTTCTATTGACTTCCAATTTCTGTTCGAAAGCAAAATTAAGGGACTAAAATTCAAAGTTAGGCACCACGCAAATTATGAAAATCCTATAAATGCAGTTTGATTATTGGGATTTCTTTCATTGCCATAAATATAATGTAGAGTTGTTGGACCATTTTCTATGAGTAATGCTACACTTACCACATTATTATCCCACATTTCTATACCACATAATGTGGCATATGACACATCAATTAAATGAATGAAGTGTATTTTAATAAATAAAATTAGAAAAACAAAAACTAGTATTTTACATGATATGGTATATACACATCAGCTGTCACATCATGTGGTATAAAAAATGTGGTAAGACTAGTATTATTCATTTTCTATAGCCACAGAATTCGTCAAATATGACATCATTTAGCATTCGTATATATATTTTTGGAATTTATCAATTGGAAGTTTGTGATAACGAAAGTGATATTTGCAGAGAAAGATAAGGAGGAAGAAAGCTAAAGAATAATAGCATTCGTATATCCTTTTTTCCTCTTTATCATTCTCTACAAATCTTACTTTCGTTATCAGTTTGAAGGGATACATGCCCGTTTCATGCTTGTATGTGACTCCACCAAAAAAATACACTAGCGGTGTCATGTCACATTGGCATGACGAGGTCATGGCTCTATACAGATACATAGAGAAATGTGTTTATATCCAAACTGACAGTATATAATATTAGTTGAAGCAATGTGATTGTCTTATGCACTACTATATAGAGATTGCAGATGCCCGTCTCTTCAGTGATGGCAATGGCCACCACCGCCACCCACTACAAGTGTAGCTTTCTCAAATTAAATAGATTAATTATCTGGGGCTGCTTTGGATCACGTTTCATGCAACAACAATTTTCCACGTGTCTGCAGAAAACAAGTATCAATTATTTGTAGTGTATAATATTGCTTGCGTGCATCTTTTAATATATCTATTTTCCGTAGCTCTTTATTTATTTATTTTCTGACAACAAAGTCTGAATACAACTTTTGTGGATGCCAATTGTTTGTGAATGAAAATAAACAGTCCTGATCTTTTAGATTAAGATTTGTGATCACTCACCGTTGGATGTAAATTAAACGGTTCATTCACTTTTGCATTCATTTTTAAAAAACTTTTTTAAACCATTGGATTAAGATCCAACAATGGATGACCACAATCTCTTGAACTCCTATGGTCCAAGAGATCGGAACTGTGGAAAATATAAAATTCAATTAGGGTGTAATTTGATTTGCAAACATTTGA